ACTGCTTCGCGCTGAAACTGCTGGACTTATTTGGCAGATAACATACTAATATTATAAATGTAAAAGTTTACATTTTTGGATGTTTATTACTCAATAACGCCAGAACAACTGAACGGATTTAGACGAAATTTGGCATAGAGATAGTCTGTAGTCTGGAATAGCACGTAGGCTACTTTATATTCCGGAAAAATGTACGGTTCCTGTGGGATAGATTTGTTTTTGTTTTTCTAGAGACGAACCCTAACGAAGCTAGGGTGAGCCGCTTGTTTAGTATACCTACAGATAGACTACAACGTAGAGTATCACATAGGCTACTATTATGTATTAGTAAAATTTGTGAAAAATTACAGTTGTTTCCATAATATTATTAAGTACTTACTTAAAACAATTTTTTTTTTACTTTTATAATTTTTCTTATCTTTCGAGGCTTAAAAATATTTGACTGTGTTAGAAATTCTTAATATTTTTGATTATTTTGGTCTCGACATTCACAATCTGAAGCGCATTTATACGACTCTCCATGTAGTTTTTCCCCTCTATGTGTACCATTGTAGATTCTATTAGAATTGAGTCGTCGAAAAATTGCATTATTATGCAACTTTGACCCCATCATCAGACTACTACGACGTATATAATATGTGTATGTGTGCTGCCTCGGTGGTGTAGTGGCTAGCATGTATTGCTGCACACCCGGAGGCCCTGGGTTCTAGTCCCGGGTTGGTCAAGTTTAGTTATTGAGTCTTTCTGTATAGTAAGCCTCAGTAACAGCCCGGAGTTGGGAAGTTGGCGGTGTTTCACCCCCGTGCCTCGGAGAGCACGTAAAGCCGTCGGTCCTGCGCCTTCTCTCTCACTGGTCGTGTCGAGCAGTCATCCCACCGGTGTATGAGAGTGACAGGAATAGAGAGTGCACTTGTGTCTGCGCGTACACTTGTGCACTATAATATCTCTTGGAAATGGGCCGGAATCGGTCATCACAACATCATCATGTGTGTGTACATATGTTTATTACTCCTTTACGCTAAAAGCGCTGGTGGGATTTGCATGTAGTACACAGATAAAACACTATGACCTGGAGTAACAAATAGGCCACTGTTTAAAACCTAGATACGCACTTAAGTGAAGCTAGAAGTCGTTAGTACTATACCTTAAACGGAAACTTAGAGATAAATTAGGTAATTCCTAGAAAAGAAATAGCTAGTCTATTTTTACTCTAGGTTTTTGCGCAAATCTAAGCACCAATTGATACGAGCACTGGTTTTCCCTATCTTCCTGTATGGAGTAGAAACGTGAACAATATTGGCCCGTGAAAGGCAAAGGATTGATGCATTCGAGATGTGGTGTTGGAGACGAATGCTAAGAATACCTTGGACAGCGAAACGCACCAATACATCGATCCTGAACCAGCTCCGTATAAAAACGCGCTTATCCACCTTATGCCGACAACGTATTCTTTCGCATTTTGGCCACACAATGCGCAGAGGCGACGAAAGTCTGGACAAACTCATTGTAGTTGGAAATACCGAAGGCAAAAGATCGCGCGGTCGTGCTTCAATAAGATGGACTGACCAAATTAAAGGCTCGTCATCGAAATTCCACACGGTGGTAAGAGACGCGCTGGACAGAAACCGGTGGAGGCAGATCATCCGCTCCAGATGCCACCCTAACACTGGCCACGATCCTCAGACATGAGGGACCGACCCCAGAGAGAGAAAGCACCAATTGTTGTTTACTCAGCCGTTACATCTTATTATCATTAGGTATATTTCACTGGTCCCAGTTATAAATTCACCAATCATTTGATTTGACGTTGACATTTTATTTAAATAATATATTAAAAACTAATTAGTATAGATAACTTGTTTTTGATAATTGAAAATGATATTTGTGATCTTATTGAATTAGAAGTTCATAAAAGGATGAAGATAGTGTTGTGTTTGCTGTTAATTAAATAAATAAATAAAAAAATAATTAAATAAGTGTTATTTTTTTAAACTATAGATACTTTTTAAAATGCGTATGAAAAAAACTCTTTTGTTGTTTGAGAAGGATTTTATAAGACGAAATACTGACGGTGAAAATGTGCCTCTCTTACAACAGGATTCGGATAGTGACGATGATTGGTATTGATTAAAGTTTTTCTATTCATCTATAATGTTATATATATTTATATTTATAATATGTATGTATTTAAAGTTATATATGTGTAGTGTATCAACTATCTGGTATCCATAACACGAGCCTCGTAGCTTACCATGGAACTAGATGGTGCTGTGTGTTAATGTCCCAACGTATTTAGTATTTATTGTATGTGGAATGTAGAAATAATGATTGCCCATGAATTTTAAATGTACCGTTATAGCTACAATTGTCAAGGGAAAAAAAGTTCCGTACACAATGTTTTTTTTTTTTGGGGAACTTATACGAGTACGAGGTTCTCAGGATACATTTATTAGTGTTATAACCCCAAAAGTAATCCCAGATGTAAAAAAAATTAAACTCTTCCACATTTCGTTCCTTATTAAACATATATTTTAGGATTTGTGCGCGCCATGAATACTGTAAAGCATATTATGAAACATCGGGAACCAAAAATAGAAATAAATCCGCGAAAAAATACGAAAAGATAGTTTTATTTAAAATATTGCTTTAACAATTTCCGCTTAACTGATATAAATGTATTGGAAATGCGGAACCTTAAAAGACATGATAAAATTATAATTATGAAAAATATGCTTTATTTAAAACATATATACAGTGATAACTCTTTATCAGTCCCAATTAAAATGAAGAGTAAAAAGATTATCGTAAATGTCAACAGTTTAAATTATGTCTGAGAGAAATTAAACTAGAACTTTTCGCCCGCAATTCTGCTCGCTAGTTATGACGATTAAAATGATGATGTTCTCCTGACCGATTTCGGCCACGGCGGCCAATCTCATACAGACTAGCCAACTGCGCAGGAGATATTATAGTGCAGTGCGTGTCCGCGCAGACACGACGTGCACTCTCTATTCCTGTCACTCTCATACTCCGGTGGGACGACACGAGATACGACCGGTGAGAGTTAAGGCGCAGGACCGACGGCTTTACGTGCTCTGCCTCGGCACGGGGGTGAAACACCGCCAACTTCCCAATTCCGGGCTGTTATTGAGGCTTACTATACAGACGTTCTTCTTCCTCGTTCCCTCACTGATGAGGATCGTGACCACTTATGATTTTTTTCCAGTCAGTTCGGTTCAACGATGCCTGGACTGCGGCATGGAGAGTAGCGCCCACTACCTTCTTTATCGCGTCCGACCACCTTATAGGTGCCCTTCCCCGTGCGCGTTTACCGTCAATTTGGCCTAAGATAATAAGTTTCTCTAGACTATGCTTGGATGATCGCATAATATGTCCAAAAAAACTTAGTGCTCTTTTTTGACAGACAGTGGAGAGCCGCTCCGTGATCTTAAGTTCGGCAAGAAGAGATATATTCGTTCTTTTAGCGGTCCACGGTACGCGCAACAGCCTACGCCAGCACCACATTTCGAACGCATCAATTTTCTTGATATCGTGGCTCTTGATGCACCAAGTTTCAGTACCATACAAAAATATGGAAAAGACTACTATACAGAAAGACTCAATAACTAAACTTAGTCCGACCCGGGACTCGAACCCAGGACCTCCGGGTGTGCAGCCGTACATGCTAGCCACTACACCACCGAGCCGGTTAACGACGATTAAAATAGCTTAGTGCTTACTACTATGCATCCCAATAACCTTTTAATTATCTGTGGTTTTGCTTACTACCGATGGGAATTTGGCATAATTTGAATTTTGATTTGATATTGTTATATAGACGACACGCTTAACACAGTTTGTGGTGACCCTACTTGCTCTGCCAGCGGTCGTTTGTTCGAGTCCCGTTGGGTGCATTCATATGTGTGATGAGCAGGAATGTTTGTACTTCAGTCATAGGTGTTTATATTTATTTATTATGTCCCAACATATTTATTATTTGCATGGAGTATAATAATATGTTATGTTACTGATAAGGAAATATTTAGATAAATGAAGTGTTATTAAAAACGCCGTTGATCATCTACCTGAAAGCAAAAACCTCATTCATTACTGTCAAGCCTTATATCTTCTGAGATATAAGTTCTTATATCTTTTAACCCTTGGAACATTTTTTTCAGGGATAAACAGTAGGTACCTAATGTCGCTCTCGAATAAAACCTCTAAGGCAAGTGCTTTCCAAAGACAAGTAGATTTAAAATTTCAAAGAAAACTTAATATGAGAATATCCATATGAGCTAAAAGTGGTATTGTTTTTTATCTCTAGTAAGGAAACATCAGATAGGTTATTGAAAACTGCCCTAAGTCATAGCTGTGACATTCATACATACACACAGTACTAAGTTTGTTTAGAAACCCAAAATAACGGATGATGACAGTATAATTCAGATTTTTTGCCACTAAAGACTTCTTATAATATACTCTTCTTCTAGGTTAGATACAACATAATATACTAAAAAAATTAGTTCTGTTTGAAATGCAAATTCTTATCGAACAAAGCTTAATAAATCTTTTATATGTACTTATCTACAGTGACTTATATACGATACTCAGCATTTGCTATAGTATTATTAAATCACTTAAGAAATCATTGTACCTAATACCTACAGTAGTATATTCAAGAGAAAATTTTATTGAATCGTATTTTCCTTTTATGCAAATATAGTTAGTAATAATAGTAAGTAAATTTATTCAAAAAACGTGTAATATATTTTGTATAAAAATTAATTTCAAAGTGTACAATTTAAAAAAAATGGCTAGAAAATCCTTTAAATGTCTTAAGTATATATATTATGTGAAGTGTATCAACTATCTGGTATCCATAACACAGGCCTCGTAACTTACCATGGAACTAGATGTTGCTGTGCATTAACGTGACAAAATATTTATTTATACGAACTGTTAGCATGAGCTATTTAAAGTATGTTTTTAAATTGTTACAGGCTACAGTCTCGTCCGAGTCAACAGTTCAACGTGATACGGCGAGTGTATCAACAAGACGCGCTGAACAAAGATGCTGACTATCAAGTACCAAAGAAACCTTGTAAGGAAATGTTAAATCTTTATTATATATAATCTGTATGTATTTCTGTTTGAACTATTCCAGTCTAAATAATTGGTGAATACTGAATTGTATATAATGTACAACTGTTCTTATTGAACTTTTCGTAGAGATACTTTATTTGGGTGGATGTATTTAACGCATTTTGGCATTTTTTTTACTAATTTTGAAATGTTTTTAATAATTAGAGAAAAAATTTGGAAAACTTGCCGGGAATATTGAGAAATTTGAAAAAAAACCTGACTTTTTATTTCGAAGATCACAAACTTTATTGGAATTCAAGCAGGAAAACATCGGTCGGGTCATCTAGTTTAATAATATATTTGTTTCAGTATCGCATAGATGTAAGAGGGCAGTGGAGAATTGTGGATTTGGGGAGTGTTTATTAAACTCTGTACCAATAGCGCGATGGCTGCCTCGGTACAATCTCAAGAAGAACTTGGTCGGGGACCTGGTAGCAGGTGCTACTACTGCAGTGATGCACATACCACAAGGTTAGCTATACCAAATAGTTTACTGAATGTCGATTGGGCCCAAATATTATTAATCAAATATTGTTATAAGTTACGGAAGCTCTCAAAAGCGACGATTTTTGCCGCCTTAATTTACAAATTTTGTACTGGTGGCTTATTTTTGCAAAATATTCTTAAATTATAGCCTTGTATTATAATTAAAACCTTTTTAGATAATCTTACTATCTATTTATGCAAACTGCATAAAAATCGGTACAGTAGTTTAAGAGATTTGCCCGAACATAATAAACTAAGCGAGGTGGGGGAGTTTAAGACAAAAATAAAGTATAAATAAAGGGGGACTTTAATATACATACTTCTATAGGGAAAACCAGCCCTATGAAAATTACTCGTATGCATTGGTTTTATAGGTACTTCAATTTTCTTATTAATGACTTCAAGCGTGCCAGCTGAGCACAGATATGTCGCCAATAGGCAAATTCATAGTTATGCTCATTATATACTGTCAATTTTATTAATTTTTACGATTATCAAAGCTATTTTAATAAATCTATACATTTTTATTTTTTTCCTGTTGTTGGAAAAATTATTACATTATCGAATGACCTCATCATAACACTATACCTATATTTATTATTAAAAGCAGAATTTTAATGTGACAATGGTGAATTATTTGCAAAACCATATTTTAATACCTTATCGGCCTTTATAAAGTCTCCATAATTGCGTAAATATCGATTTTATTACTATAATTTATTGTCTTAACAAGCTTATAGGTATTTATTTTATTGGAACGCATATTGCAGGAAAAACTCAAGTGTAAATAACTGCGAAAGCGTTATTTTTCTTAAACACAAACATACAAGTATGAATCTATTAAAAAAAAGTTTTAAAGCTCAATTGTTATTAGTCTATGATGGTGAGGAGATGGCTAAATCCATACTAATAGATGTGAAAGTGTGTTTGTTTGTCTTTCTTTCACGTCAAAACGGAATGACGGATTGGCGTGATTTTTTGTGTGGAGATAGTTGGAGGGCGGGAGAGTGACTTTCTTTTACTTTTTAGAAAGAGAATTACTTAAACTTCTGATCATAAATATATTGCGTTTTTCGAAATTCATACCATAGGGGGGTAAAATATGGCATGAAAGTTTGTCTGAAACCTACCTTTTTAAGGATTTTTTTGTAGTTTCAGCGCGAGCTAAGCCGCGGGTTTTGGTAGTGTTTTATATATAAATATATACCTATCTATAAATATGTCGATTTAATTTAATTTTAATTTGAACGTTTCTAGGTATGGCGTACGCGTTACTCGCAGAAGTTCCACCGATAGTGGGTCTATATATGGCATTTTTCCCAGTGCTCATCTATGTGATATTCGGCACTTCACCCCATGTGTCCATGGGGACGTTTGCCGTAGCTTGCCTAATGGCGGGGAAAGTGAGTATTACGAATTAAATTAAAGTAAATTATTTATATTAATTAATGACTTTTTTTCATTTATGATCGTGCAGTGTTGCAATTTACCTTTATAATATACAAAATTGCTATAATCAAAAAAAAAAGTGATTGTCTTATCAGTATACATTACACAACAAGCACTCATTTATTTCATTACAGAAAATCGTTAACGTATACTGATAATATAAACGTATATATATATATATATATATATATATATATATATATATATATATATATATATATATATATAAAATTTATTGTGTAATCGAAATTTATTTTAAAATATACCCAAAAATAACATTAATAATTGAATTACTTAATAGTATAAAAAATGTTTTAAAACACAACAAAATCGAAAGTGCATAATATTTAACACCATTCAGACAAAGAAAGACAATAGCATTAGCAAGGAGGGTTGACGTCAGGCAGGCGGCCGGTCGTAAAACTTTTGCCAAATCCTATCAGCAGTACACTGAAGATGTACTGCGCCGACCCCAAGTGATTTGGGAAATGGGCAGGGAGAAGAAGAAGAAGAAGAAGATATATATATATATATATATATATATATATATATATATATACGTTTAACGGTATCTACTAAGGTAGATACTTATTTTAAATTTAAATTCCCAATTTATTTTGGACTCTTTTGTACAACTTGCCTATATTAAAATATAATTATGATATATTTTTTTCTTCTTTCAGGTGGTAACGCAATACTCGACGCGTCCGGAAATCATTAGTGTTGTTAACGCCACGGCTACTGAAGGTAATATTAAAATAAATTAAATTAAAAATTTAAAAAAAAAACCCCTGGACCATCTTGGACCGATTTTCATCAAACATAGCTAAGAACACTCCCGACTAATACACCTTTCAAACAAAAAAAAACAAAATCAAAATCGGTTCATCCGTTCGGGAGTTACGATGCCACAGACTGCCACACAAATGTGTGTGTCTGTCTGTGGCATTACGTCAAACTTATAACACCCCGTCGTTTTAGGGCCTCGAGTAAAAAAAATGAAATTGTAAATAAAATAAAAAATAAATCGATTATAATCATTACATATTTTGATTTTAAAAACGAAGGAGGTACAATCACACAATTTTTGCTTGTTTTTTTTTAACTTGTTTGTTTAACTTCCTAAAAATGTGTTAAGAGTGACAATTCTAACAATTCACTATGTCGTAGATCTATCACTTCAAATAAAAAAGTAGGGTGAAAATCGAACCTATGACCTCTTTCTAGCGTATAACAACATAATGCTATGGACTCAAAATATTTTTAATAATAGGTATATATTTGTTCCAGGTCCTGATATAATGATGGGGGGGTATTCCCCTTTACAAGTACTAAGCATACTCACACTAACCGTTGGTTTGATACAAGTAAGTAAAATGTTTTTATATGAGAGGTTGATTCCCCATACAAACTTTCATCCCGATTTTCACTCCCTTAAGGGATGATTTCCGGGATAAAAAGCATCCGACGACCTTCCCATGGTCTCAAACTATCTTCTCACCAAATTTCATCTAAATCGGTTCAGTAGAGATAGAGATCACCTCTACAACATCACAAACTCACAAACTTTAAATCTTTATAATATTAGTATGTACTAGAGGACTAAGCTTCATTCGGATATGTCCCTAATCGCCGTTATTTTAAAGTTTTTTTTTTAGAATTAACAATTTTTTTAATGTTTTATTTCAAATGGAAATATTAGCAATTGTAGATAGCAATAGTTTGGTAATTTCACAACTTATAACACCGACTCCGTGGCGCAACGGTAGCGCGTCTGACTCCAGATCAGAAGGTTGCGTGTTCAAATCACGTCGGGGTCAAAGTTTCTTTTACCTTTTTTTTATTTTTTTGACCCCTTTTTTAATGCTCGTTGTTTTCTTTTTTTTAAATATATATTTGATTAAGGACATACATAATAAGTATTAATAATATTTTACAATTTGTTTTAGACATAGATGTGTGTTTTCTTAGGATTATTATACTTGAAACAGTTAGATAATATATTTTTTTAAGAACCACACACAGCCTAAATAAGTGGATCTTTGTACATATATTTAAATATAACAGACCAGTAGATGTAGTTAATTTAGTTCACACTATGTGGATCGCAATAATAACAGTAATTCTGATTAATATTATTTTTTGTCTATAAAGGTAGCAATAGTTTTACCCAATATTTTAACTTTAAATAATAGCAATCTAAATTTATATTTTAACTGCCTTTAAATTATATATAAAACAATAATATTGCTTAGATAAATAATGAATATTTTTAATTTCTAATATTCTTTATGGTTATACATAATATAATAGTAGCAACACTAAATAATATTAGTAATTAATAAAGTTTATTTTTTTTTTAATATTTATAATAATAATAATATTGCTATATTTAATTATAATACTTATTAAAAAATTTTAAATGCTTAGAAATAAAAATCAACAAATATTGTAAAGTATTAATTGCCATTTTTGAATTTTTGAAATCATTTTTGTAAAATAGTGGGTAGGCACTGTCTGTATCAAGTATGTGTTTGAGACGTCTATAACTTAGTCTCTCCCGTGACCATGATTGCTGTAAAGTATTCGAAAAGTCGGGAACCAAAAATTAAAATAAATCCGCGAAATAATCCGTAAAGATAGTTTTATTTAAAACATTAACATATTTTTAATTTTATCTTTAAATTTTTGAAGAGGTAAATCTAGAACATTTTGTGAATGTATTGGTAATATAGTAGTTCGATAGCTTTCTTTATATAAATGTGTAATTTTTAGATAATAATGTGGGTGATGCGTCTGGGTGCAGTTTCCACACTGCTGTCGGAGCCGCTGGTGTCCGGGTTCACAACGGCCGCCTCGTTCCACGTGTTGTCTTCACAATTGAAAGACTTGTTTGGAATAAGACTGCCTAAATTAGGATCGAATTATAAAGTTGTTTTTGTAAGTATTAGTTTTAATATTTAACTAGAATAATAATAAAGAACCTTTTTCAATTACAAAATCTATCTTGTTTGATTATTTAAGTATGCAATATATTTAAAAGTATTTACGCCCCACTACTGGGCACGGGTCTTCCTTTATACGAAGGGGATCAGGTCATAGTCCACCACGCTGTAAGTGAGGGCGGACTGAGCATGTCTTTTGAAAACTTGCTAGGGCTTACGTTCTCTCAAATATACAGGTTTTCTCAGGTGAGACAAGTGGTAATAATAATGTTGCAAATGATTCACACATGAAGATATCAGATGTGCGAGACCCGGGATTTGAATCCGCTTCACTCGGTTTCTCAAGCGAGCTCGTTACCACTGGGCTATTATTGCCTAAGTATTAAAAACAATCATCAAAATCGATCAAGCCCTTTCGAAGGAGACAAACGCACATCGGGATTTATATATGTATAAAGATGTGTTGCAATTAGAATATTTATTATTATTTTTTCCTAAAATCTATAAGGATGTTCATGGTTTTTTTCCAGACTGTTATAGAAATAGTAAAGAACATACCAAATGCGAATTGGACAGCATTCGCGATATCGGCTTTAGCCTGCACCATCATAGCTTTGAACAACGAAGTGTTGAAGGTATCTATTTATTATTTAACAAATATTATTAACATTTATTATACAAATAAACATAAAATGTAATAATGTTTCCCACTTTGTCGGAATTTAAAAAAAAATTAACCCCTATTTTTAGATGTTTGTATGTTTGGATGGATGTTTGTTACTCAATCACACCAGAACGGCTGAACGGATCTGGATGAAATTTGGCACAGAGATGGATTATAGTCTGGAATAGCACATAGGCTACTTTTTATCCCGGTTAAATGTACGGTTTCCGTGGGATAGATATGTTTTTGTCTAATGGCGAACTCGGATCGAAGCGAGAGAGCTATAAGACGTGCTCGTTTAATATTATTATATATCTATGCATATAATAAAATTGTAACGAAGTCGAATCTGTACATAAGATATTTTTTGGAAAATCTTATTGAAATAAACATTATTATCGATACAGAGGCCGAATCTAGTTTTTAGAATTTTTGTCTGCCTGTCTGTCTTTTACCGCATCACAAAAAACCACTGAAGGGATTTTAATGAAATATGGTATGGTGATAGCTGGTTATCCGGGTCAACATATAGGAAACTTTTTACCGCGGAAAAATATCTCATTTAAGAGAAAAAATACAAAAACTGCAATGTAAGAGTATACTAATATGTAAAACCTAAGAACTTGGTTTTTGGTCCTCTGAACGGGCAATGCTAGTTTATAATAAAATAAATAAATAAAACGCAAAAAATAATAAATGATGTATAATTTCACAGCCATGGGTGAGCAAGAAAAGCCGCGTGCCGGTGCCTATAGAGCTGTTAGCGATCGTCATCGGCACGTTGGTGTCGAAGTTCACGGATTTGAAGGGACAGTATGGAATCTCTTTAGTTGGCACCATTCCTACTGGGTAAATATACTTCAATGAAAATTACTATATTTTGTGACACTAAACACCTTTTTATCGGGAAGAAAAATGTCGACAGTAAATCTGTAAACATAACGCCATCTACTGAAATTTATTTCTATATTTTGATTTTTAATTTTAAATGAAATTCTGTACAGATTAGAACTCCCGTTGATGAGTCACATACATTACGCTTAGTAAAAACTTATGTCATGTAAAATAATTTCAATGATAAATATAATTTTTATATAAAACTATTTTTTGGATGATTTCGCGGATTTATTTTAATTTTTGGTTCCCGACGTTTCTAATGCTTTACAGCGCACATGGTTACGGGGGAGACTAAGGTTTTAGACGTCTCAAAGGTCATTATATAGTTGTTGTACACTTGAAGTAATAATAATCTGTAACATCCGAAGAAAGTCGCAAAGCTAGTTTTATTAATAATGTCTAATATTTGCGTAAATCTAAGAAAGTATTAAATATAATTTTCCTCCACAGTCTCCCAGACGCCACAGTGCCTCCAATAGAACTCCTCCCGAGCATAGCACTGGACGCATTCACCATCACGATGGTGACCTACACCATATCCATGTCCATGGCCCTCATCTTCGCTTCGAAGGACAAGTACGAGATTGATGCGAATCAAGAGTTATTGGCGCTGGTATGAACATATTAGTTTTATATATATATATATATATATATATATATATATTTATATATATATATATATATATTCATTTATATATATATATATATATATATATATATATATATATATATATATATGTTTTTGTTTTTTCAGATAGAACTTTTATATACAACCCTAATAAGAATTAAAAAATATTCTATCTATGTATGTATAATCTTCCTATTCTTTTTTAAAAGCCTATTTATTAACAGAAAGAAACAAAAATTAAAATTAATGCAAAATCAATTTAAAAAACATAAAACATGTCACTATTTCCTGCTTAATTAAACCAAATGTTTTATATATATATAATATATATATATATATATATATATATATATATATATATATATAGTGTTTTTTAAATTGATTTTGCATTAATTTTAATTTTTTTTTTCTGTTTATAAATAGGCTTTTAAAAAAGAATAGGAAGATTATACATACATAGATAGAATATTTTTTTAATTCTTATTAGGGTTGTATATAAAAGTTCTATCTGAAAAAACTAAATAATATAAACTTTATAATATTCGTATAAAATAAAATATAAGTATATAATATAATTAAATAATAATACTATGTTACAGGGGACAAGTAACGTGTTCGGGTCTTTCTTCTTCTGCGCGCCGCTCTGCGCCAGCTTGTCCAGGTCTTATATACAGTATCAGGTAATTCCAACTAAATATATGTAAAGCACAGAAATATCTAATATATCTAAATTAGATTGGCGTATTATTACAGCAAAATATTCGGAACATCGGTATCTTATGTTTTAATAAATCTGCATACTAGCGACTAATATTCGCATCGCTCAGGAGCATCTAGGTATAGAAAATTTCAATCATACATAGGTATAGAAAAGTAGGTAAGTAATTTTAAAAAACTTGAAATCCCTTTTCCATTGTTTGATAAAAAACGCCGAAACGTTCTTTATTACTAACCTAAAATTATAGAATACCTATATTGAATTGAGAAATGATTTGTTCCCAATACCAACTTTCAACCCCTATTTCACTACCTTCAAATTTCATTTTTGCGACAACAAGTACCTTATGTCCATCTCCTAGATTCCATCCATCTCTATACCAAAATTCATTCAAATCGGTTTGCCTAAAAACGTAACAGACAGACAGAGCTATTTTCGCATTTATATTATTATAGTATTATATGGATATTTGAGTTCTTGGACTTAAAAACTTAAACAATACGCACATTATCCAATTATTACACACATTTCCAATTGGCACCAGGCGGGCAGTAAGACCGGGATAACATCGGTAGTGTCCGCGGGCCTCATCCTGTGCGTGCTGCTGTGGGTGGGGCCGTTCTTCGAGCTGCTGCCGCGCTGCGTGCTCGCCTCCATCATCGTGGTGTCGCTCAAGGGCATGTTCATGCAAGTCAAGGAGCTAGCTAAGTAAGTTTTCCTATTTAGCCCTTTTTAACGTCCCACTGCTGGGATCAGGCCATAGTCCACCATGCTGGCCAAGTACGAGTTGGCGGATTGCAAATGTCTTTCGAAAACTTTCTCGATTCCCTCAGACATTCAGGTTTCCCTCACGATACCATTGGGCTTCCACTGCCTTCCAAAACATTACCCTATATGTTACTTCAGGTCATAGTGTACGTGTACTCATTTTCATCCAAATCCGTGCGTTATATTTAATTTTAGAAAAAAAAACAAATCTTTCCCACAGGAATCGTACATTTTTTCCGGATAAAAAGTAGCCTATGTGTTATTACAGACTATAATCCATCTCTGTGCCAAAATTTATCCAGATCCGTTCAGCCGTTTTGGTGTGATTGAGTAACAAACATCCATCTGAACATCTAAACTTTCACATTTATAATATTAGTAAGATGTCAAATATTTGCGTAAATCTAAGATATTATTATATATCAGTCTACCAACCTTCGTGTCTTCTTCATTGTGTGTGACATTGGCGAAATACTCTGTGTAATTGGCACGCTATGAAGCCATTGACAAGAGAATTGAATTTAATATGTTAGTCTGATCACTAGTCGTGTCTCGTGTCGTCCCGCCGGAGTTTGAGAGTGACAGGGATAGAGAATGCACTGGCATGTGCGCTCTCCCTCACACGTGCTGCTCTATAATATCTCCTGCGCAGTGGTATAGTCTCAGTAAGATTGACCGCTGCTTCCGAAGTCGGTCGGCAGGAAAATATTAAATCGTGTCACGCCTCTTTAATAGCTTATCTAAAATTTATATTTCGGTACTTTCACGGCCTTTTACAATCCCATTAATTATTAAATCACTTTATATGAACGTTACTATAAGATCTGTCATTGATAAAAGTTTCATTCGTAATATGTATTTGTATTTACGATAATAATATTGTTAGCAAATCGTTGATTGAATACCTTTATTCCAGGTTCTGGAGGCTGAGTAAGCTAGACGCCATAGTGTGGCTTGTGACGTTTTTGACGACGATGTTAGTTAACATCGATATTGGGTAAGTGTTTTTGTATCGGACTTACAAAAAAAACTACACCATAAGAAAATAATGTTACACATAAAATATTTATATAGTATCGTAAGGCAAGTGATTATCATGTTGGAGATGATTAGTAAATGAAAATATGAAATACCTTTCATATTTTCATTTACTAATTATCTCCAACATGTACGAAGTCCCGGGATTTGAACCCACTTCACTCGGTTTACCAAGCGAGCGCGCTACAACTGAGCTATCACTGCCACTAATACTACTTATGCTCGCTTCGCTCGGGTGCGTCCCTAGGTGCCTTTTATATTTATAATATTATGTACAGCCTTCTTTTGGCAAATTTTATTACTAATAGTAGCCTCTTTGTTACTCCTAGACTGTCTGTGTGAAGGAGTAATAAACATACACACACACACACATAATAACTACACCACGGGACTTAAACGCGTAAATTAATTAGTGGCTATATACCTTATTCCCCATGTTTCGTGGTCACATACAGTCTACCCGACAAATTCACGCGTTTAAGTCCCGTTGTGTAGTTATTATATAATTATGGAAAGCGAACATTTAAAAAGTTATATACACACACGTATGTATAACATACTCATTTATAAAAGTGGCGTGACATTAAATATATATATGTTATTTTCAGTCTCGGAGCAGGACTAATAGCAAGCGTCGGAACATTGTTCGTCCGCTCGCAAAAACCCTACACCTGCCTGTTAGGACGAGTTCTCGATACCGACTTGTATCTGGATATCAAGAGATATAGAGCTGTGAGTACATAATATGTTATTTTTAAAGACCGGACTACGGTAAATCCTAAGATTTTCCAGTAAAACCTAATATTTTCCAGATCTTGATGGTAAATATCCGAAATATTCCGTGAACATCGTTCATTCATTTAAATTTCGTCACCATCCACTACCTAGTAACTATTTCGTTAGTCTAGTTGATACCGTGAAAATCTGTAGTTCTGAAAGTCTTGGATTCGAGTTCCGGGTATTTCTGTTAAGAAATATTTAGTTATAGTCCAGAGTTGGGAAGGTGTTGGTGTTTCACCCTATTGCGAAGATCTGGTCTTTCTCTGTGACTTGTGAGTGACTATATATTGGTGTCCCACCGAACTGTGAGAGTAAGGGACAGAGATGTAAAGTTAATTTTAAAATTAATACATCACTTTCAAAATTTTTTCAAATAAGCACATAATCGAATTATTTAAGTTTTCAAATAATCATCAAATAAGATTTTGATTTTTTTTAATACAATTTCAATATGTTCGTCAAATAAAATCTTTCATTCATTTTCATATTATATTTCATTCTTTTTTATATTAAATCATGTTTTTTATTAATTGTATTTGACATCAGTTTCAAATTCAGTTTTATATTTTCTTAATGAGATATACATAGAACTATAAAAAATTACAACTCTATATAAAAAAGTTTCAATTTTCTGACAATAATACTCCACGACTCATCCATTCCATTTCTCTGTCATCGTCCAAGGACAGTATGAAATATTGTAGCACAGCCATAATCATTATATTGAGGACAATGAAAAGCCACCATTTCGCCACATCTAAGATACCAACCTGATATTGTAAAGAGTAAGGGTATCTTTTGTCCCCAATTAAACGCATTTTTTATCATTTTCAATTCAATTCTTTGTTAATTTTTTAATCATTTTCCTTTTCATTTTAGTGATGTCAAAACTGTCGACTATCAAAATGTCATCATAATATGACATGGCCAAAATTTAAAGAGAATTAAATTGGAAGTCGGTTAAAAAGAGCTCTTTACGATGCTCTGTCCGCGAAAGTACGTAAAAATAAAACAAAAATTTAAATTTTTGCTAACAACCCAAAAAACTGGCATAATTTCCAAAAGGAAATTGTAAAGTAAATTCTTCAAATCTGCAAATCATCTCGCAAGTTGTATTAAAGTTAAAACACTATAAAATAAAGTTCATAATAAACTTAAGTTTAATTTGCTTTTCGTTTAAGGCTGAGGAAATCCCCGGCATCAAAATCTTCCACTACTGCGGCGGACTGAACTTCGCCAGTAAGAATCTCTTCAGGTCCACGCTGTTCAGGAAAATTGGATACCTCAAGTCTGATGAAGACGGTGAAGATGTGAAGGGAGAGGCGTATGAGTGGGATTCTAATTACAGTAATAAGGTGAGAGTTCTAACGTTTCTTTAAATATTTTTTTTTATTTATTCGTGTGTAATTGGTAATTTTAATACGTTGTTGTCTGACAGATGATATATAATATTATATTCTTCCCGTACATGATATTTTATAAATATATGATTGTAATATGCCTAATATGCCTGATTTAATTATTGATTTGTTTTAATTCAATTGCGATATTCGGCAAAGAAGTTTTACTTCAACCGCGCGTAAAGATTTAAAAATGTACCTATTTTTTGGCACTTGGCCAGCGTATTGGCCTACAGCCTGATGCCTCTCGTATTGGGAGCCCCATGCCCAGCAGTGGGAATGTATGTGTATATGTGAAACATTACGGATTTTTTTTACAAAACGTGTCGATGGTCGGTGCAGGTGCAGTGCGTGATCATCGACGCGACGGCGCTGTCGTACGTGGACGCGCCCGGCATCAAGAGCCTGGTGGCGGCGCAGCGCGAGCTCGTTGCCAACGCCGTGACCGTGCTGCTCGCCGGCGCTAACGGTACCTATTGGCTCTTTTTTTAATCTATACATATATTAAAAGTGTAGCTGATCGCTGACTGTATATGGAATATATTTGAGAAAAACTATCATTTGTTTACGCAAGAGAATCCAAAACAATGTTTTTTAGAATTATTGTCTGTTTTTCTTTTCCTTTCCTTTGTTTTTTCTTTTCCTTAATTGATTGTTTTTTTTATTATACATATAGTTGAATGTGTGCTTATTTGTATCAAACCTCATAAACTACTGTACAAATCTTTAGGTTTTCAGTTGTAGTGTTCTTTATATGAACATATATAAAGAATGTCAGCTCCGATAGTTATGATGAAATTTATGAATTAAGTCGGTAGAATCGTCACTTCTAATAACTTTCGTAATCTTATAATATTAAATGAGCAATTCTTGTATATATATTATGTAGTGGACCACCTGGGCGACCGAGCTTCGCTCGGAGTTTTTTTTGTTATGTCGTATTTTTTAGATCAAAAAAATTAAAACTTAAATAAATTGGTACAAAAAAACAAAAGTTAAAACTTTATATCTGACCGGGATTCACACCCGGACACCTGTGATTGTCAATCTTGCGCCTTGACCGCATGACCACGATGCTTATGCCCGAGCGTGCGAAATTAGCGACCATTTGCGTGGAATAATGCGAATAAAAAACCGCATAAAAATTCAAAAACATGCGTTTTCCCAGACATAAAACTAATCTAGATCGATTTTTCGCCCCCGAAAACCCCCACATGCCAAATCAAAATTTATTTTGTATATCTCGAAAACGGCTTTAGCGATCTGAAATATTTTTTTTATTTAGAAGATAAGTGTATTTTCTTAAAAAACAAAATTTTTAACTCTGCCGAAAATCGAGCGAAGGCCAAACAAATAATCAATAATAAAAAAAAACTAATAAAATTTGCACAAACAGGACCGGTGCTAGAAATGATAGAGCGGTACAACTCACTGGAGTCGGAGCAGCTGCAGCTGGACACGTTCCCGACCGTCCACGACGCCGTCGTCTACTACAAGGTGCTGCAAGCCAAGAAGGACACCATCGTCATACAGACGTGATGTACAGGTGACCATTGGATAATTAACCGTTAAATATATTCATTATATTCCGGTACAATCAACTAATGAAACTTTCAATTCAATTCTCTTGTCATGTAGAATGGAGAACGAGGAAGATTGGTCGGTAAAATGAGATTATAAACTAAATTGAACTATAATGTGTAAAAAAAGAAGTAAATCCTTAACAAACCTTGAATCTTCAACAAAAGTGCATTAAAGATTTTTTATATAAAGTATTGTCTATGATAATTTAGACAGATAATAGGAGAACTAATGATGTCATTTTACTTATCAAAGTTATACAAAATTATATATGAATGCTAAATAACTGTGAATTTAAAATTAATCATTAATTTAAAAAATATCGAAACACATTCTTATCTTTGGCATAGACAATATTCAAAATATAGAACTTTTTGACAGATTCGTCAAAATGGTTAAAATTGTTAATCGTATATTTTTGTGAGATTAAAATTATTTTAAATTTTAACAGTGAAATGCTTTAAATCGAAAGTTTAAACCCTAAACTAACAAACAAATGAGCTAAAATTTGTAAATTCTTCGGGGAAGTGTTTTTATCTAATTTTATCGAACAAATCTTTGTTTATATTCTTTTTTTAGTTTATTGGGCCAGAGTATATGCAGTTTGGGAAGTATGTCCTAAGTACATAGTACTTTAATATGACAGTTGGTACTTTTTTTCTCTCAAAAATTAACAAAAAATCACGGTTAAGATGTTTGTTAAGTGAAAATTAAGTACTTAACTTTTTCTTATTAATTTGAACGTATATTTGATTTTTTTCTAATAATCCAATGTTTGGAAAATGAAATGGTCCAAAAATATAATTATAGATAAATATTACTTAATTTCGATAGACTTCAGCAAAAGTGGCCGGCCTAAACTATTTTTTTAAAACAAATCATTTTATCTAATACACTGTGTCGTTTGAATAGAAAAGAAAAAAAACCAAATTATAATTCTTAAAATCGGGAATCGCTTTGAGAGAAGTTAGGCCACTTTGCCATTGAGGACTTTAATATGGTATTATATTAAGAAATAAACTATATTTATATATATTTTTTAATAAATCTTAGGTTAAGAGAATAAATATATAGATAGATAGATAGATCTTAAAGAACATTGTTTGACCCATGAAGTGACATTTGTATTCTAAAGAAACGGCTCGACAAGCGTTTACTGTCAAAAACATAAAAATAAAAATATTTTATTTATTGGTTATTATCTGAAAAATAAAATACGATTATCGTTTGGTTATTATTTCATACGATTATAATGTACAAGAAACTCTCTTTGTAATAATGGGCTTTCATTTTTATTGATCTAGAATCTAGATACACTCTATAATATCCTATTCTTTTAACCTAAGAACTAAGTGAACTATTAAAAAAAAGTTTATAATAAATTCGAAAATACGATAGTAAAAAATGCGTATTTTAAATGTTCCGAGTTTAATCTGAAACCAAAATCGCTAAAAGTATTTAATTTGTAAATAATAAATTATTGCTTAAACTAGATTTAAAGACAATAATAACTTAATTGTAAATATTTAGGGTAAGTTTCTTTTTCATTTAAATAAATAATACGATCAAGGAACTTGATGGTAATGTGCAATTTTTAGGATATCACTTATTTTTAATATTACATGCAATAAATATTTATTTTCTCAATTTAAACAAAACAATTGTTATTATGACTGAAAATATGCCATGCATATTAATTGCTTATATATTTACAAACTTATATATTTGCATGCATAATAATATGCGTTGACATTTTTTTACATATTTTTTAAACATAAAAAAACACAACACAAGAAAAGACAATTCTTTTTAACTTTAATAAAGAAGCATATTGAAATATAACTTTGATATAAATTATTATTTATATTTAGTGTTGCCATGTATGCCTTATATACATTATAAGAAATACATTATAAATAACAATACACACATTTTACTGTGAACTGAATTAAAAAGAATATATATTTAGCTAATAATTTATGAAAGCTGACTCTGCTCACCCATGATCTAATACCTTGTTCATGGTTAACCAAATTAAAGGTTCTCTACAAAATTTGTAAATATATAAGTTATTATTATTTAACATCGATCAAAAAAGTACTAGATACACAATCAGCGATAAAAAATGTCCTCACCGAATGAGCACTCATTTGAGCGCGCTTTTTTTTGTGGAAACAACTTTAAGCATTTCGTTTAAGCTTCAATTTATATTTACATTGTTGTATATTTATTTCAACTAGAATAATTACCTAAACACAACTGGTCACAGTTTTAAGAGAACTTTTGTACGGGATTGTGTATCTAGTACTTTTTTATCGATGTTATTTATGAATTAAAAAGAAGAAAAAAAACATTTTATTGGTCTTTTTTTGTTTTTTGCATTCGGTTCATAAATGTATAAAAGACAATTGCATAGTGTTTATTTGTAAATTCATACTTGAATATATCAAAATTTGTACTTATCATTACGGCTCATTTACTTCAACTCTTTTAATATAGGGCTACCATATAAAATATCATTTTATGTGTTCTGAAAACAAACTGTGGTTATATCAAATAATTTTGCTATTTACCTTATGAAATTACGTTTCCGAAAATTATGAGCATTCACATATTAGAACTTTACAAATGGTAACTCTATATGTTTACTTAAAATATTTATGTTATGGCAATAATTATTAAGAATTAGATGTAGCTCTTAGTTAACTGTGTCATTGTGATATTTTGTACCTAAAGAGTATTTGTACTTATTTAAAATGAATATATTTGTTATAATCGATTATTATTTTATTTAATAAATGCCTTTTTAATTTATTTTAACTAAGTTACTAAAAGATAACAAAAGAGGATATAACCTTCGTGGCATTGCCAATATTCCACGATTTTTATTTTTTTAACTAGCAGCGCACAATGAAAGTGGAATATATGGATGAAAAACACTTAAACGAAATAAAAATATTGGCAAAATAATGTTCTCAAGTGTTACATTTCCAACATACTTGAAGATAAAGATCAACATAATTTTTTTAAATATAAATTGGCAAAGTCAAAACAGTCCCTTTGTCTCCTGTTTGTCGACTGTTTTTTTGTTTAGTAGCTATTGACGAGCTTTAGTGTAATCAATAAAAAAACTGTTTTTTTTAATATAAATATGCCAAAATTTTTTATTATTATATTTAAATGATTATGATCATATTTCGACCACTGCACTGGGCGAACTCTAATAATTTTATTGAAACATGAGCTATAATATGCGATAACTGTATTCAAAATATTTCATTGAGTGACGGATTGACGGCAGGCCTGCCGAAACAGACCACCAAAACCCAGAGGTTGCTACCTACTGTTCACTCCGCTATCAGAAAAGTACCAGGAGCAACCCGCATGACACACCGCCCACCGAGGTGGCGGTGGGCAGCCTCCTAGTGTGTATTTTATCTTAACGCCCGGCTGGATTGCCGGACGCTAATGAGCCCCACCACGACAAGGATAGATTATGGTGTAAAGAGATACTAAACATACTAAATGACATAAAAAAATACATTTAAAATAATAATATATGTATATATTTGTTAAGTAAATTCAATTCAAATATTACAAAATAAAAAGATCAAGTGGAACAGCTGACTTTCAAAGCATACGCCCACTGCGGAGGCTGTGCGGAGAAACCTCTCGCTTCTGCCTCTGGTTGTATTTCGTAAGGGTTCCTTATTACTTGCAATAGAAAACGGACCTACATAAAAATAGAATTGATGAAATCCATCTTGACATAACTAGCCTGAGTCCTGACTGTACATTGAAGACATGTTAATTTACCGGTTATTCTCATTCCCGTGTAACTTGTTACATATATGAAGTGCATTCCCTATTTTGATCTTTTTTAATACTTTTTTAGATCTACGCAAATACTTGACATTTTAAATAAAACTATCTTTTCGGATTTTTTCGCGAATTTATTTTGATTTTTGGTTCCCGACGTTTCGAATGCTTTACAGCAATCATGGTCATGGGAGAGACTGAGGTGTTAGATATCTCTAAGGTATTATATAGTTGTTACAGACAGCCTACCCAAAATTAACAAAATGAATTCAAAAAATTGAAAAATGATTGATCTTTTTTATAAGTTTCTTATATCATTTTATAGAGAGTCATAATCTTATGGATATATACCTTCTAGATTACAGTTATTTAAAACAAATAGTCTGTGGCATAAAACAAACGAACATGATGAATCTATAATGCAATAACCGATTTTTGCATCTTGGCAACGGAAACCTTAATAAGGAACTGCTTCGTTTCTAAGTAGGAATGCATTCTGAGCCACGACGTAACTTCTAATACGTAATTTATTAATAGAAAAGCTGCTCATTAAAAAATCGAGCGTGTGCTCGAAATATACAATTTTTTCCACCCTTTTCATGTTTCTAGGAGCTGTCTTCTAAAACATATTTTTGTAGAGGTTACCTATGTCATAATAGAAATAGACAAAATCTTCAGTCTGCTCTCCAAGACTAGAGTTTAACACCAGCAGCTTTGGGCTGTTACTGACCAGGACATCGAACCCAGAACCTTTCGATCTGTAGTCGAACATGCTAGCCACTAGACCAACGAAACATAATTAATAACCTTATCAAAATCGTCCCGATCAGCGTCTAGGATAGCCTCGTGCAGCATCCAGTTGCGAGGCACGTACAGCGGGTTGACGGCGAGCATGCGCCGCCTGCGCTCCTCCTCGAAGAGACCCACCGCGCTACTTGTATTTACTTGTGTATACAAATAAAATATATGTTTAACCGACTTTAAAAAAGTGAAATTCGATTTGGATGTCTGTTTTCGTGTGTGTGTGATATGTAATCTGTGCCTGTTATAAACCGATTTTAATCATTCTTTTTTAATGAATATTAAAAAAAATCAAGCCTAGCCTTCAAGGGAGTTTGAAGTGTAAGTTAATAATTTCAATTTTTAAACTATATTTATTTATTTATATTTATAATATGTATGTATTTAAAAGTTATATATGTATAATGTATCAACTACCTGGTATCCATAACACAAACCTCGTAGCTTACCATGTAACTAGATGGCGTTGTGTGTTAATGTCCTGACAGATAAAAATTTTTTTTTGAACATCTTGATAGTTACCAGCCTCCTTGTCTAACCGCTCGCGATATTGATCGAGCCAGCAACCCCAAGAAGAATGCGAAGACAAACGCTTCAACGACCATTTATCTTTCAACTTAGATTCACTAGACATTTCACACGGCTCCAACTATAAATTACCAAAGGAAATGAATTTTTTAATTATATTACAGTAATAATTATTAGAACATATATCTAATAATATTGTTTTTTATCTATATAAAAAAAAAATTAGTGCATCTGCTTGCATAGCCAATTAAATAAGCTTTGACAATTTTTATAAATTGAATATTAATATAAAAAATAACTAATACAACATTTAATTTTGTACATATAAAAAAATCGTATAATAAAACTTTTCAATAGCTATTTTCCTCACTTCAGCCAGCTGTCTAAACGTAATGGTGAAATCGGCACCGGTCTGCTGCATCATATCGAGTAACTTCTCCACTAACTCTTCATCTCCCCATCTCTCTTTCTTGAGTCCAATTTTCAATAGAAATGTCTCTCTGTTTATCATTTAATACAATGAAACTCAAAAATGTATACAGGGTAATTTATAATTTACTGAAAACCTTTTGGGAATATACTATTTACATAATATCAACAACATCTGTAACAAGAAAAAATAATATAAATCTTAATTTTTTATTTTCATACAAAAATAAAAATATTTTTTTTACACCTTCTAAACTTTAAAGTTCTAGCATCTGGCCAAGTTTAAATGAGTAAGCGCGACTTCCTAAACCCCTCCACTCCTCCCCCTCCACCGGACACGCACTTTCTTTTGCTAATGCTGGACTATTACCGTTTAGAAGGTGCAATAATTTTTTTTTATTTTTGTTAAATTTAAGATATATTACTTTTTTTCTTACAGATGTTGTTATGTTGTAAATAGTGTATTCCCAAAAGGTTTTCAGTAAATTAAAAATGACCCTGTATAAACGTAATATATAAATATTAAATATGCATATAAATAGATTATCTATATACATATGTAAATGAAAGTGCAATTAATATTCGCTTGTAATATCGCTATATCTCCATAGTCGAATGCTTTAAAATTTTGACATATGTACGGTTTTTATATTTACTATGTTGGGGCTATATGTATTAATTACTTAGATCATTTCTCATCTAGTGATCGTATCTATATACATTTTACATGTAAAAGTCGTGGGTCGTGTTTCACGCTATATTCTCGGTATTAGATTCTATCTTAGACTAGCGTATTCTCTGCTCTTGAATGTTGTAGTATGATGCATATATTATAGTCTATAAATATTTCATAATTAATACTTAAGCTATTAAACGCATTTTTATTTCCAAATCTAACCAGTAGATCCAGAAATTAATGCGTTCGAAGTTCAAACAGACATACAAATAAACTTTTCAGATTTAGTAGGTATAATAAATTACTATAGATTAACATACATTCTACTTTAGTCCTACCAAGCGACCAAGCGAGCCGCGGGCTTAAACTAGTATTTAAAATGTAATACGTACAGAATTTTATTTTTACAGTAAGTATCCAGAGTTTTTAGAATATGCGTCATGTGGACCTGCTGCGACGGCGTCAGGAGAGTTTCCAAAGCATTCGCTAGCTGGCTTATATTCCATACTACTATCTATAAGGTATTAACATTTCTGAGTAGGGATATATATTTCTAATAAGTACATAAATATAAATAAATCCTTCAAATAACATTTTTTTACTCTCTGTGCTGGTTTTACTTGTTTTTTTTTAATACGACATTCAATAGTATCATTTTCCTTTCAAATCTAGCCATTCTTTTTTGATCTCTTTTAAAATTAATGAAAGAATTATGCTGTGGTGATTCAGTGGAGACAAACGATTTTATTTTCACTGAAAGTTGCCATCACCCATGAACGAATTGTTAATTCGTTCATGCCATCACCATAGGAGATACACATGTGTGTGTGAGGCTTGCAAATATCATCTAATGGGAAAGCTGATATTTGGCAGCTCTTACAAAAATCCTTTATAATTCTTAACCTATCCCAGAATTCGAACCCAAGGTCATAATTATTTTTACCTGTACACCTACCTACTAACCAAACCACTACACAAACGATGCATATAATCTTACATCAGGTTGTTTTCCCAAAGCATATCGTCCTTCTCCATCGGAACTGTTAGCTACATAGCCACTATCGTAGGAATCGAGGAAACCAAATGGACCATAGTCCAAGGTTACTCCGAGAAGATTCATATTATCAGTATTTAATAATCCATGAGCGAAACCTAATCCTATAAAATATAGAATTATATTAAAATATAAAACTAAACTGCCTCAATGGTGTAGTGGCTAGCATGTACGGCTGCACACCCGAAAGTCCTGGGTTCGAGTCCCGGGTCGGGCCAAGTTTAGTTATTGAATCTTTCTGTATAGTAAGTCTCAGTAACAGCCCGGAGTTGGGAAGTTGGCGGTGTTTCACCCCCGTGCCTCGGAGAACACGTAAAGCCGTCGGTCCTGCGTCTTAACTCTCACCGGTCGTGTCTCGCGTCGTCCCACCGGAATATGAGAGTGATAGGAATAGAGAGTGCACTTGTGTCTGCGCCTACATTGAGCACTATAATATCTCCTGCGCAGTTGGCTAATCTCAATGAGATTGGCCGCCGTGGCCGGAATCGGCTAGGAGAACATCATCATCATATTAAAATATAACGTAAGTATTTAATCTTTAAAAAAATAATGTAAAAATTTAAGGAGAAGTGACTGTTTTCTTTTTCGTTTTACAAATACAAATCAACGGTAAAAGGACGTATTAGACGATTGCTACAACTGACATCACACGCGAGTCACGACATTATAATAATAATACCTCCTCTATTCGACCAACATATAAAGGCAACCATCATATTAGGTCTTTAAACAGTAATAATATCATTCTCAAAGTTGGTGTAATTTCATTGAAATCCGTCCAACCGCTTCAACGCGAAGGAGTAGGTAGGACAAATATACACACAAACTTTCTCATTTACATTAATAGTGTTATTTATGTAGGTGTTTGTTCTTTACCTTGCCATTTAGCAACGAGGTCGAGCGTTTTGTGAGCGATCTCAGAAAATAGCCTAATATATTTGTTCTCATCTGTTAGATGGATGTCAGGAAAGTGTTCCTGTAATACAGTGTTTCAAAAAATTAGGTCTTTTTTTGTCATTGGAATAAGTAATTTCCAAACAGACTTATGACATTTATACCCCCCTGAAGTTTAAAACAAGGTGGCAAGGTGGCTTTTTACAATGATTTTGTAACAATTCTGTTTCTCCACTTTGAAAATTCTTACAAAAGGCTATTGACCATAAAAGTTATACTTTTGGGATAGTTTCTAAAATATTTTGAAAATTCCCACTAACTTTTATCACAAAATCGGCCACTTGCTTCAATACCGCCAACTCCCCATTCTTTGCCAAAATTTCCAAAGAACCAAAACGGAACCAGCTCTGTGACAATCTCAAGAGCACACCAGCGTGCTCCCGTCGCGGACAGCCAGAGTAAAAAAGATCACGTGTTATTGGTTCATCGCTGACTAAAATGTATATATATTTTTAATGCACAATTCTACTTCAGAAAATTTTACTCACATTAAATTATTACAACTGTTTACTGAACGTCATGAGTCACCAGTTCGAAAAGAAAAAGTCTCAGTCCTGAAAGTCTCAGAAAGAAAAGAGCTGGCGAAGGAAACTCATACCTAAACAAACTCATAAATTTATTTTATAGCATATATCTTACCGACAACAGCTACAGATCTCGTAGTAGGGACTCCTAAATGGAACATAGCCTCACTCGCAATCATTTCCCGAATACAAGATCTGAGCATAGCACGTCCATCGTAAACACGAGAGTAAGGAGTCTGTCCTGAGCCTTTGAGCTGGATTTGCCAACGCTCATTTAACCTACAATATTGCAAACTCCAGAGAGAGAGACAAGATAATATAAAATGGGGTATTATTGCGTTTTCTTTTACAGATAACATTATCAGGCGAAACTTATTAATTTTTAAGTTGTAAAACACCCTTAGGTTTGATAAGATTTTTTATATTATATGATGTTGATGTTACAATTAATTTACATAAAGTAATGCAAAACATACTTGTGCTTTCCTAACAATATAGAGGGGGTGAATACCTGTTCACATATTCTCCAATAATGTGCACCCTTCCATCACCTAACTGTCCAGCCCATAGACCATATTGGTGACCTCCATATCTGAAGTCGTTATAATTGCATTATCAATTATAATTTTACTAAATTTATTGATTTTTTGTTTATTTAAAAAATTATACCGATGTGCAACAGGCAAAGCTCCATATGGTAATTTTCTTCCAGCCAAAAATTCAATAAAGTCTAGACTATTCACTATATTAGGATCCATGTCCAAAATGTTTACTAATGCATCATCAGAAGCACATACCAAGCGGACATTGCGTTCTAGCGGACGGGGTGTAACCTGAAGAGATATGTTGCAAAGTTTAAAAATATAAGATCAAAAAATATACCGTCACTAATGAATAGGTAAAGTTAGGGGCAATCGTGTCTCTGGTGTATCTTATATATTTAAACGAGCTATTCTTGTATATATATATATATATATATGTTTCCGAGATTCAGATTATATATCAATATATAATCTGAATCTCGGAAACGGCTCCAAAGATTTTCATGAAATTTAGTATACAAGGGATTTCGGGGGCGATAAATCGATCTAGATTAGTCTTATGTCTGGAAAAACGCGTGTTTTCGAATTTTCATGCGATTTTCTTTTGCATTTTCACAATTTTTGCATTGTCAGTTGTCACTGCTGGTGGGTGGGAGGCGCCACTGTACAACTGTCTACACCACAGAGTACATTGGTATATTCTACACTTTATCGTGTCCGTATTAAAATCAAGTTTAAAAATATTATAGTGAAAAATTCACCTACCAACAAATACAAAAGTGACAAACATAAAATATAGATACTATCAGTGCAAAACCATTTTCTGTGTGTGATGACAATAAAACAAAATAAATTTGTGAAGTGAAAGCGTAAAATATTAAAACATAAGTTTATAACCTCAAAATTTAATACTCATTACTCTGTTTAAAATGGTAATTCAACTAGGTATAATAGGTGCTCTTTTTCAATCAGCTTTTCTTCTTCCAACTTCACACTTAAAGTGGAGGGCATAAAAAAGTTGTTAATAAACATGCAACAAGAAATAAGATAGCAGAAAACAGAAATGTTAAAAATGAAAGAACAATAGGCCTGAAACTAAAAATTCAGAAAAATGTCAAGTGTTTATGTGGCACTCAATATTACATTAAAGAGGACTACCCAATAGATGTCTTAAACAAACGCAAGGAGTTACAAGCCCAACTGAAGATAGAAAAAGACCTAGGCAAAACAGCTTTCATTAAATATGTCAAACTAATTGTTATGGATAATAATGACATTTCTCGCCAATACTCAAATAAAAGAAGTCTGCCTGTATCTCCAGAAACGCCTTACCTCAATAATAAACAAAAACTAAGAAATAAACAACATACAAAGAAAACCAAACCTGCTAATATTAAAGACTTTATATTACTAAAACCAAAATTAACTTTCAACCACACAAATTATAACCAGGAACAACTAAAAACAACACAGCAGGATATAGTATAGTAAACACAGAAGAAACTTCTCATCTTTATCCCCCAGTATGGCCAGTCACCGTGGGGGAGTTCAACCGTAACCGTCAAAAGAAAAACAGACATACAATGAACAAAGGTATACATATCTTCACCAAAAAAACTTCTAGAATTAAAAGCAGCATTTCCTACAACAAATCAAAAGAACACAAAGATAAAATTATAAACTTTGTAGGCATATCAGAAACAAATTATATATTGGAAACAAAATTTGAAAAGAAACCCTTTGCAATCATACAAGCATAATCTCCAACGGAGAGCTCTATGCAGGATACTTTGGAGGAGGCTTTTACCCGAGAGGGGTCTATACATGAAACCTAATAGGAAATTCACAAAAGACATTTACTAAATAAATACATTTAATTATGAAATTAAATACCTAATTTATAACTATGTATTGTCAGAATTAATGTATGGAAAGAAATTTTATTTATATTTATTATTGTGAAATGTTTAGTATTTACTCAATTGAATTATTTAATTTATTGTGATTGTTTATTTATTTATTTGTTAATGATAATTTATATATATTAATCAATTAAGTAATTGCTCATAAGCTAACAACAAGTTGAATGTAACTAAATAGGTTATCACAACATACAATATCATTTCAAATAATATTAAAGATTTTTAAAATAATTTAATTCCAGATTACAAAATTATTAGTTAAAAAATGATAAGTTAATAAATAGTCACTAACCAAAAATTGAAGTTAAATTAAATATAGGTAATCAAATAAGTTATAAATATGATCTGTTAAAATACAATGTTAAAAATTATTAATTAAGTAAGAGTACTTAATTATAATTTAAAATTATATGTAAGCATTTATAGAATAAATAAAGCTTTATTATTATTATTTCTTTTGTATTATTCCACGCAAAATATTATGTTTGATAATTTCGCACGCTTGGAATTAAGCATCGTGTTCAAGCGGCTAAAGTGCAAGATCGACTATCTCAGGTGCCCAGGTTCGAATCTCGGTAGTGTACAAAGTTTTTATTTTGTTCTTAATAGTTATGCAAGATTTTAGTTTTATTTAAAAGAAAATTGTACTTTTTAACCAAAAACTCCGAGCAAAGCTTGGTGGCCCAGGTACTGGATATAAAATATTAACTACAATATCTCTTAAATTAAATGATCAGCACTACAAACTTCCTAAAGTTTAAATTTTAAAGACTTTTTCTTAGTTTTTTTTCTAAAGAATATAAGCGAAATATGGAAAAATATTTATTTTCTTCTTACTACGAGGCAATTTATAGATCATTGATAGCCCCTTTTCATACGGCCTGCTATTCAACAGCAGCGGGGTGAAACACCACCAATTGCCCAATTACGGGCTATTACTGGTACTTTCTTCATAGAAAGCCTCAACTAAACTTGGCCCGACCTGGATCTCGAACCTAGGAACTCCGTATGTGTAGCCACACTAAATTATATATTATATATACATACTAGCCACTACACCACCGAGGCAGTAAAGCATGAATTTAGTATGTTGTATAGATAAACAAACCTCAGAGTAAACAATATTTTTGACATTATTTTTAACTTGATCATGATTTTCATCAATGGGCAATAATATATATTTGGGATAAAGACTAAATCGCCACTCAGTTAAATTTATTTTCAACAATGTTGATTCTCCTTCCATTTTCATGGTGAAAAATATATACGAATTTAATTCGAAAAAAACTAAAGTATAATTATGACAGATCTTTTTTTTGAGCTTTTATATTAACCAAATAAACACATTTTTAATTAAAAAAAAAAGAAATTCTTATATTTTCATAATGTATTGTATATAAAATATAGTTTAATTATTAAAAATAGCCATACAATAATTCCAAACAATGTTTTTTGATATTGGTGTTCTTATTATTTGCAGCTCAGCTGGTAGTATTGGTACATTAGTTGGTACAGATAATTATTTTGGACTTACTGCAATCCGCCTTTGTCAGATTATTGACAGAAAAAAAATAAAATAACCTATTTCTAGTTACAGTTGCAATATTATCTTCAATCATTTGCGGTGTGTTTGAAATTTTAATAATTTACCGTTATAGTGATGAATATGGTATATACGGAAGAGTATTTAAAAGAAAAGCTAACCAAGGAACTGGACGCCGTTCATGTCGTAAGTATGAACTGTCAATTTGTCAAATATTGTTGAAATGTCTACACGTACACGTTATCGTGTGTAAACTGTAATCTATCTAAGTATGAATGAACTCGGTCTCAAAATAATTTAAAGTGCACAAAATTCGATAGTATGGGTAAAAGAGCTGACCCCGACAGATTCATCGTTACCAAAGACGCCTTACTTCCTGGTTTATTCTTTTCTTTATTCGTACGATGGTGCGTTGCGGCATACCCATATTCGGGCTTCAAGAAACCGCCGATGTACGGCGATTTTGAAGCTCAAAGACATTGGCAAGAGATAACAGTGCATACTCAAGTATCAAAATGGTATTGGAATACTACACAGAATGATCTTCAGTATTGGGGCTTAGATTACCCTCCTCTCACGGCTTACCACAGTTTTTTGATCGGTCTTGTCGCTGACTGGTTAGATCCAGAATCAATTCGTCTGTTCGCATCTAGAGGCTATGAAAACGATCAGCACAAAACCTTTATGAGATGGACAGTTTTTTTAAGTGATGTGTATTTTTATGTCACAGCTGTGTTATGTATTTGTATAGATGCAGAACGACTTTTGCACAAACAGCATAATCCAAATGTATTTAAACGTACAGACATATCAACAGTCTTATTTTTGCTATACCCTGGTATCATTTTGATTGACCATGGTCATTTTCAGTACAATTGTGTATCGTTAGGATTATTTTTATGGGCATCCTTTTTTATTGTTGCTATTCAAAATGATACTTTGGCAACAATTTTCTTTGTTTTAGCTCTTAATTATAAACAAATGGAACTGTATCATGCTCTACCATTTTTTGTTTACTTATTAAGAAAATGCTTTATGTGTATACCCAATAAGGGTAAATATTCTCATATTATTCATAGATTTAATAAGCTCGCAATAGCTGTTATATGTAGCTTTATTATAATTTGGTATCCACTACTTACTTCTTGGGATGATGTTTTTCAAGTGCTACATAGATTATTTCCTGTAAAGAGAGGTGTTTTTGAGGATAAAGTGTCAAATGTATGGTGCTCGGCCAATGTATTTATAAAATTAAAATATGTATACAATAATGAAGAAATGATTAGAATGTGTTTTTTAACCACTGTAATGGCAGCTATGCCTTCATGTATAGACTTATTCTTTAGGATTAATAAAAAAAAGTTTGTTTTATCTCTTATCAATGTATCGTTAGCATTTTTCCTCTTTTCATATCAGGTGCATGAGAAGTCAATTCTATTAGTGGCTATTCCAGTAGCAATGCAGTTACCTGAAGACCCTTTCATGTGTTTTTGGTTCTTACTTGTGTCTACTTTTAGTATGCTGCCATTGCTATTAAAAGATGGCCTACTTATACCATTTTTATGCACAAGTTTAATTTATGTAGCATTTTATAGTATTTCATTACGGCTATCACAAACTAAAACAAGTCTTTTATCATTCTTAAACGCCAGTACAGTGTATAAAGCAGTAAATCCAGCAACAGTTCATAACTCTGTAATACTAAAACTGCTCTCAACCTGTTTTTTCTTCTCGCTTCAAGGAATGTTTTGGTTAGGTCTCGGTACATTGTTGGTCGAACCACCACCAAGGTACCCAGATATATTTCCTTTATTGATATCTATGTTTTCATGTGCACATTTTATTTTCTTCTTAATTTATTTTACTCATCAACAATTGTCATTGCCAATGGTATCACCAATACAACCAAAAGCAAAAAAAAAAAATTAATCTAGTCTGTTGTATTTTAAGTAGTATTAAACATTCCAAATAAAATTTTATGATGGTCTTCTGCTGTTTTAATTTCTTGATACAATCTCCATTATAATTTCTTTTACAAAAAAGTTGATCTTTTTCTATCACTGAAAGTTTATTTACATGTATATCATATTATAACACACGCAAAATAGGCGCATAGTCGTCGAGTTGCGGAAAACAGCCCGAACATACCATACCATACCATACCATACATGTATAACCGGCGAAACTAGATTTCAGGCCAAACGGGTTTGTCTTAAGCCAAACCGGTTCATCCAAAGTATATCAGGATATACTAGTTTAGCCCAGAACAAACTAGTTTGGCCTAGTTCAAACTGATTGAATTAATATAGCACTTTTGATATTCGGGGTTCTGGGTTTGAAATAAAAAAAAAGACGTAGCGTAGTTTCTCAACCTACATTATCCAAGTCGGGCCGGTCACATAATAATACTACAGAGGCCGCGTCCCATATACCAATCAGCCGAATAAAAAATACCTCAAAATCAGAGCAGCCTATGCCAAACTAGTTAAGTCTAGGTAGGTTAAGTATTTAGTATTTTGTCCAGGCTAAACTAGTATGTCCTCACACTGGATAAAAAGGTTTGGCCTAGGCCCTAGGACAAACCAGTTTGGAACCTGAAATCTAGTTTGGCCGGTGACATATATGTACATACTTACCTATAACATTTCCTCCAATACTAATGAATTCATATTTTTTTCTATCGTGAAACATAGTTTATAAAAAAATCGAATAAGAATTATACTTTATATAATCGAAGCATCATTATTCATGTTATACAACATTACTATACTTTTTTATTACATTTGAATAACTGCCTTCTGATTGTGTTCAGTGTTTAACATGAGAGCATGCGTTCGCGTCGCATAAAAGTATTAGTTATTTTATAAAATATATGAAATTTCTATTTATTACGAATATATTGCATGAAATAATAAACTGGAAATCGTGTAAACAAGTGAAAATTTGGCTCTGTAACTGTAAGCATTTAATATTTGAATTTTTATTACTTATTTTATGTTTACGTTTTATTATTGGCTTGTAAAAGGCACTTTAATTATATACACACGAAATTTATTCATAAATGTTTTTACAACTCTAAAAGCACGGTAATATTACATAACATTACCGTGCTAAAAGCGATGGAGAGATATGTAAATAGGGTAGTCGTGGATTCGATAGAATAAGCTGAATATGTATTATAAAGAAGTACCTTATAGCCTTTTAGAGTACCTACTTCAAAAGGAAAAATAAACCCTTGTCACTTATAGGATCACTTCGTTGTCTGTCTGTCCGTCTGTCCGTCCGTCCGTCCTTCCGTCCGTCCCTCTGTCTGTCTGTCTGTCAAGGCCCTTTTTCTCATGAAAGCGTGGAGATATGAAATTGAAATTAATATCAAATACAGTCAAGTCTACCATTCCTGTGAAAAAATCAAACTTCTAAATCAACGCAATCAAAGATACGGCGTGGTCGTATATTTTGACACTCGCAAGGGAATCAAAACCAGTAGGGTTAATTATATTTTTCGTGGTTATAAACTTTAAAATGTTTTTTCTATCCATTCAACATAACATAAATTGTCACCCTAACACTATTATGAACAAAGTTTTGTATTTGCATCGTTAGAGCTAGAAAGTAGTTACAATATCCATTAACTTCAGTCACCAGACAATATGACCTGCTTTTTGAATAACTACATAATATGAGCAGTACATTCTAACTTCTAAGAGAATAAAACTTTGTGGCATTGCCAAATTCCTGCCATTTTTAACTAAATAGCTAAAACGGAATTTCGCCAGGTCCGTCCGTATGTCGCAGCCTTCTTTTATTTGAAAACTATTGGAACTAAATTGCTGAAATTTAATATGTGTCTCATGTAAAGTCAAAAATACAAAAAAAAAAACAATATATTTCTTCTTTTCTATTTAAAATCAATCAGGCCTAATGAAATCTGTAAGTAAAGATTTTTTTTTAATGTAGGAGGTGGTAGATGAGAGCGACGGGTGTGGAGGCAAGTTCTCCGCTTTGATCGTCTCTGACAAGTTCCAAGGGAAGCCGCTACTCGCTAGGCACAGGTTAGACTTATTATTTATCTACTTTCAATAAAAAGGCAAATGCACACGTGAGTTTATTTTTAATAATAGTCTCATATATATATATTATTAATTTATTTGCCTACTGAATATGTCCCGAGGTGGCAGTCCACTCAGGGCCTAGCCGATTGGCGTTGATGTCCGGGACGTTCATTCCTTCGATTTGAAAAGTAAAAAAAAAAAACAGAGTATTTAGGAGGTGACAACTGATTATACGTAGACTAGCGACTCACCCTCGCTTCGCTCGGGTTCGTCTCTAGGTACGTTTTAAATTAAAATGGATATAGTATGTTATCCTTAAGAGATAGACATATGCCATCGTGGACTTTTCTGTAGACCTATATAAGATACACAATTCCACCATACATTATTTTGTTATATCTCAAAGGGTTTAGGCAGCGTTTTCGTTGAAAGCTCCCAGACGTCTTATTTTTTCCGACACCAACAAATATCGTTATATTTTAGCCAATGTATACAAAAACTTAACAAATTATATACTAAAACCCTCCTCTTGAATCACTCTATCTATTAAAAAAACCGCATCTAAATCCGTTGCGTAGTTTTAAAGAATTAAGCATACATAGGGATATAGGGACAGAGAAAGCGACTTTGTTTTATACTATGTAGTGATTCGATGTTTTTGATTAAATAAATCATTTTTATTTAAGATTTGATAAAGGAGAAGATTTTTAAAGCCACTAACAATTACCGCAGTGGGTGTAGGGTGTCATATAAACTTGTCAAAGAAACCACAAACCCACAGAAAAACCTTAGCAGAAAATTTTGTTGTTTCTTAATAAGTATAGAAGTTACTGTATGAGATAAATCTACTTTAAAAAAAACTAATATTGTATACTCAAAAGTAACTCATACCCGAAAAATATTTCGTCCCCAAATGAATTTGCTTTTTTTGTTGTTGTTTGCAACACAGAATTCGATTTATTTTAACACCTCCCGGTAAATTTCTAAGAAATCTATTGTTAACTGTAACGTCGGCGTGTCCGCGGTCGTTGAGGGGTTAAAATTAAATGAATCAATATATAATCTATATCATAATTATCTTTTTCTGATCATTACGTATGATGCTTTATACTGAGATGTTCTTACGCGTCAAATATTTAAATTGTTATTATGATCCGATGCAATCTGCTATTTCATTGTTACGTCTGTGACGTCATGCATAACATAAGGATTTTACCGCTTTTTAAATAAAGACGTAAAAGTAATTGTAATGAATAATTCAAAAGAGTTATGTACTTGTTTCTTTTATAAATAATATCCAAAAAAACGTTTCAAAGTATTCTAATTTTGCCTTCGATGGTGCATACTAATAAAAAAAACGGTAGGGCTGTATCGTATACCTCGATGAACTGTCTTCTTAGTCTAGTCACTAGCTAATGTGTACGGATGCAAAATGAAATTCCGGGGTTCGAGTCCCAGGTCAGGCTATTATTAAGTTTTTTTTAAAAAAAACCCCAGAAACAGCTCGTAGTTGAGAAGTAAGCGTTGTCACACCCGTCATCCTCGTGCTCCAGAGAGGACGTCAAGCCATCGGTCCTGCGCCTGATCTCTAACAGTCTAGTCAGAATAAGGAGTGCACTTGTCTGCGCGTATACTTATGCACTACAATACCTTCTGCGTAATGTGCTAGTTACAATGACCAATCGACTTGGCGGAATCGGTCAGCAATGGAACATTATTATTATTATTCATATACAACTTTAGGAAGTTAAATGTAGTTTAGTTTATAATCCAATCAAGACATGTACATGGACGGCGGCAGGATTATTTCTAGGGGTACCGCCCATCTGCTTCTTCACATCAAACTACTAACAAACTACTTTAAATGTTTCTTTATAATTTTTATATATATCTTATTTATCATCTATTTTCGCATACATCTAAATTTAACTTTTCATATATATTTTCCTTCGTAGTAGGGCATCCCAAGGGTGCAAGTGCCCCAACCCCTCGCACCCCACTCCCGGCATCCATGGATACATAGTATAATTAGACTTACACATATAAAAATACTCGTTTAGTTATCGATGAATTAAAGCATTTGTCATTCAACAGGCTTGTGAATTCAGTGCTCCAAGAAGAATTGAAGACCATTCACGCTTTCACACAGAAAACACTGACGGTCGATCAATGGAAACAAAAATAAGATTGTTATAATATTACAGTAAATTTCTAGTCTTTCAGTCTTTTATTGCCCTGTCCTATAGTAAAAATTAAAAAAAAAAACAAAATGTCACTTTTAGAAGTGAAAGTTTCTGCACCTGGTAAAGTAATTTTGCATGGAGAACACTCGGTTATGTATGGGAAGTTTGCGATCGCGGGCAGCCTCGGACTTAGGACTTCTATGATTGTTAAGGTAATCTATACATATAATAATATTCCAACTGAGGCGAATCTGTACATTAAATATCTTTTTAGGAAAATCTTATTGAAATATGTAGTCGTTATTATCGATACAGAAGCCGAATCTATAGTTTTTAGAATTTTTGTCTGTCTGTCGCATCACGATAAAACAACTGGACGGATTTAATGAAATTTGGTATGATGGTTTTACTGTGGGAAAATATTTCACCTCTGAGAAATCTATACTAAAAGATTAAACGTCGCTAGTTCTATATAATTTACATATTTTTTGTTATATATTCCAGGAAGTAAAATCAAAAGGCGATTTGACCATTAACCTGCATTTGCCATCAGTTGATTTAGAAGAGGTTTTACCATTAAACCTAATAAAAGAACACTTGATCCCATCCCATAACGATACATGGAATCGTCCAGATGTGATAAACCATGAGAAACATTTAGAAAAGGTTGATAACTGCTTGCATAAGATCCTACCAGGTTATGGCGATCTCAAGAGCTTTAAGAAGAACTCTCTACGTGGCTTCTTTTACATACTTTCTGGAATATTCGATGGAGATTTGTTGAATAATAGTATAGATGTCACAATTACTTCAGAGTTAACAGTGGGTGCTGGTACTGGAAGTTCTGCGTCTTGTGCTGTCTGTGTTTCTGCTGGTTTCTTGCAACTCTTGAAATTGAAGAAAGGCATCCAAAATGAAGAATTTAGTCTAGAAGATAAAATGATGATATCTAGCTGGGCGTTTAACTGTGAGAAGATCATGCATGGTGCACCTTCAGGTTAGCTGATAAAAATTAAAGTATAATATAGATTATTTTCTTCTTCAATGGCTTTATTATTATTTTTCCTAATGATATGATTTAAATCTATACAGATAAATAAAATTGAAGTGTCTGTTTGTCAATATAACAGGTTTTTACTAAATGGATATGATAGTGCTTATAATAAAAACACAATTTAAAAAAATTGTCTGTTTGCTTCGGCTGATTGAACGGAACGAATGATTTTGACGGGAGCTGATGTTGTAAGGAGTAACTTAGGTTACTTTATTTTAGAAAAAGAATTAGGGTTCCGTTCAAAAAAATTAAAACGTACCTAGGGACGAAGTCATTTATTAAATTTTTTAATACACTCGATATTTTTGTGAGTTCTAATACATTATCTCTATATCTTATAGTTCTATATCTTTTATCTTATAGCTTTTCTGGGATATTTTCCATTTTTTTTTTATTTTCAGGTATAGACAACTCCATCTGTACATATGGGTCTCTCGTGGGTTTCACAAAGGGGGAAAAACCAGTAATACCAGATTACAAAATCAATTTACGTATACTCTTAATCGATACGAAAGTTAGCAGACAAACGAAGCTTTTAATCGAGAAAGTTAAAACATTGAGAGAGTGGAACACTGAGGCAGTGAACTGTGTTATGGATGCTTTGGGGCATTTAGCAAAAAATGCTGCAGAGGTAACGTCATAGTTAATCTTTAATATAAAATGAGCAGTTCTTGTATATATATGTATGTATATAAATCCATTTCGTGTATCTTGGAAACGGCTCTAACAATTTGGATCAAATTTTGTTGAAAAAAAAAGAACGCATAATGAAAAACGCCGAGTGAAACTTGGTCGCCCAGGTACCTACTATTTATTATCTTTTTAAACGAAGTGACTTATTATTACTGTTTGGACTACGCTTCAATTTTGACAGTTTATTCATACATTATGTTTACAAAACAGGTATGAGATAATCAGTAAGATTTTTTTTGGACTTTAAACTGTATCAGAGGTGGCAAAGTTTGTGTGTTAAAATTAGATTGTGCTCTAGTATCTTGAATATAACCCCTACAATTAATAGAAAGCTAAATACGGCTATATATCCGATGATAATGGGCCTGATAACTCAGAGATGTGCAAAGCCAGTCCCGTCCCTGTTTTTTGGTTGTATCGTTTTTTGTACATAAATAATCTATACATATAATAAAATTGTTACTAAGCCGAATCTGTATATAAAATGTTTTTTGGAAAATCTTATTGAAATTGACTTTATTGTCGATACGGAGGCCGAATTTATAGTTTTTAGAATTTTTGTCTGTCTGTCTGTTTGTCTGTTACCGCATCACAGAAAAACCACTGGAGGGATTTTGATGCAATTTGGTATGGTGATAGCTCGTTATCCGGGTCAACAAATAGCATACTTTTTATCGCGGGAAAATATCTCATTTCTGAGAAAAAATATAATATACAATACAGGTTGTCGGTCATCTGAACGCGGGCGGAGCCGCGAGCAATGCTAGTGTTGAAATAAAAAAAATACACCCTAAAAATTTCTATTAAAAACTTCAAATTTTATTTATTTTAATATAACAATATTTTATGTTCTATAGGTTATGAAAAACATTTCTGAAGCTAAAGGAGAGGATGCTGACATTCTTTACCAGCGGTTAGCTGTAAGTTTGTTTTGGACTTTTCACGAAACTATATTTTAAGTAGCTTTTAAATAAAACTGTCTTTTCGTGGATTTATTTTATTTTGATTTTTGGTTCCGATTTCGAATGCTTTTACTCATTCATTAATATTCAAAATGAATTCGCGAAATAATCTGAAATGATAGTTTTATTTAAAATATCAAATATTCGCGTAAATCTAAGAAAGTATTAAGTAGGTTTAAATATGTACGTCGATAGGGAAAAAAATCAAAGTAACTATCCTCTCATGGGCTAATACGCTTGCTAGTGACCCGCCACGTTCTAATCCTAGATGAGCTGCGCATTCCATACTATTACAGAAGCCTTCAGAAGGGTAATAAATAAGAATACCTAATAGTAGAGAACAGGTAGAGAATTCTAAAAAAAGGTATGGTAGCCCAGTGGCAAAACGCTTACTTGGGAAACCGAGCGCAGCGGGTTCAAATTTTCATGTGCGGATCATTTCCAACATGATTACCACTTGTCTTACGGTGAAGAAAAACATGGTGAAGAAACCTGCATTTTTAAGAGAACTTAGTAAGTTTTCGAAAGACATGTGAAGTCTGTCAACCCGTACCGTGGTGGAGAAATGTGAAGTTCACCCGCACTTGGCCAGCGTGGTGGACTATGGCCTGATACCCTTTGCATTGAAGGGAGGCCCGTTCCCAGCAGTGGGTCGTTAAAAAGGGTTGAATAGACAAAGGATTCAGGCACAACAAACATGGCTCCTTTGTATTCCGGAAAAGAGAAAGGGTTCCCACGGGATTTAAATGTTTTTTTTTTAAAGTTCAGACGGCACAGTCAATCTGTTTTGGGTAATCACTCACCTATATCACGTTTCTTTAAAATTCTAAAAGGTCCTTTATAGTACCTTGGATCCATGAAGACGCGGTACCCAGGTTCCAGAAAATGCAAAAAAAAGTTTTTTTCTCTATTTCTTTCTTTTTTTATATAATATCGTTTTCAGGAACTCTGGAATATGAATCACTGCTTATTAGCATCCTTGGGAGTGTCTCACGCGTCGCTTGAAGATGTAAGGGCGTCGGCCTTGAAGTACAACCTTGCGTGTAAACTGACTGGGGCAGGGGGTGGTGGGTGAGTGGCACTTGTACTATTTGTTAGTTTTTTGGGTTCCACAGCTAAAAATCAAAGTCAAAGTAAAATTTCACAGCCATTTTAGTACCTGTAATATTTTTATTACTAAACTTAGTATTTGAGGAATATGTGGAAGGCGTTACGTAATATTTTATAATTAAATGTGCGATTTCTAACATAGAGTGATAGATATTTGAAAGCTAAGCGTTGAGGAAGACTACTCTGAGATCTATCTTTTCTTTTTTAATGTGCAATTTCATGTATACATTTTTTTATTGTCTACTAAGTTAAAGTAATTAATTGATGTGGCCTAATCTTGTGTTTTGAATAACCAGCACCTTTTATTTGATTTCAGGAACGCCATTATTTTGGTTCCTCCACAAACAGAAAATGCAACTATCGAAGCTCTAACAAACGAACTCGTAAGCAAAGGCTACGCTGTACGGAACACACAATTAGGGGGTTCAGGGGTCACTTTAGATTAGAGAGGTATAAATTAAAATATTTCTCTACGGCAAACTTGCTAGATCATAAACCTTATCTATGCCTTCGAGCTAAGATGAAGGTCAAGAGTGAGCCCATTTTTAATAAAAAAAAATTAATATGTTAATATTAAAAATGAGTTTATTAGTTAAATAATATATTTAGGAATAAACAAGGCTTTAAAGGATTATGCTTTCTGTCGCAAAATATTGACTAAACTTGAAAAAAAAAAACGTGTGTGTACTTATGTACGCACGTAAGAAGTTATACTTCTTTAGTGTAATAGAACAAAAATTGCTAAAGATTTCATCCCGTATGTCACAACTCGCTGTTTGTAAAAGTAATGCAGCTAACTTCATCGTGTTGCTTTTTGGCTGTCGATGTGCGCGCGTATCGTAAAAATTTTACTCTCATATTTTTTTCCACACGTGCCAAAAGAAGTATAACTTCAAAAAAAAGAACATTCACCAACATCCATTATGGATACATATAAAATTAATATGACAGTAGTTATTTATAATTATTTATTTATATATTTTTAAGCTATTGAATAGCTTCTATCGCGGGCCTTGAGCGTGGGCACCGAATCCAGAAATTCCGTAACGAAAAAAACCTGACACCCCCCACTCCGACCGGCACAGCGGTGATACTTCCATCTATCGATAAATACCAAAACTTTTAATGACTTTTTGAAATATCACGCTTGTCTCTTTAGTTCAGCAACCCACCTTTAGGTGGCATTGGTTGTATTGGAAAACTACCGTAATCAGCTGTTTGTGAGAAAGTTTATTTTTATGAGCTAGTGCCATCTTGTATAAAAACTACGAACTAGCTGTCTTACGCTACTTTTATTCACAGCTATAAGAATATGGTCACTAGATGGCGCAACAAAACAAAATAGTAGTTTGATATTTATGTTTTAAGTCACGTTTGACGACACGCTTGGCTCAGCGGTCGCGGGTTCGAGTACCGCTGGGGGCATTCATTTGTGTGTTGTCGAATGTTTGTACTCCAGTCATGGGTGTTTATATTTATAATATGTATGTATTTAAAGTTATATATGTGTAGTGTATCACCTATTTGGTATCCATAACACAGGCCTCGTAGCTTACCATGGAACTAGATGGCGTGAAATACTAATAAAATAAATAAATAATTATGATTGCATAAGTTGATAAAAAATGCTATGCAATAGCTTTACCGCGGCAGTCTCCGAGTGCCACATTTAATTTTTTTTTCTTTTAACAAAAAATTACATACGCACAATAAATAATTAATTTAACATAATTAATTGCTATTTATTTGAACGCTGTCACTATGTTACATGACAACGTAGGTTTTGGTTACCGGGTTAGATAGAGAATAGGGGTTTTTGTTTATGGACATTTTTTTAGTTATTTTTTTTTATTATAAAAAAATATTCTTTTGAATATTTAGAAATAAAATTTTCTAGTTACATAAGAATTGCTTAAAATCATGCACATTAACATTTTAAGTACAGAATAAAGACTAAAATGTGACTTTTACAATAAACATTTTTTTCTTATATATGTCTTTGTTTTATTTGTGGCTAGCGTCCCATCCTCGTTTCACATCGGCCATCACTACATTCCGTTCTAAAAATGTCAGAAATCTTTCCCGCGGGAAAAACTAAATTAATTCTTAAAACATCTTTAAAATCTTTAAATTTATAGCAATCATAAGGAATAAATGGGTTATAAATAAAATGAAATAATGTATTAATATAAATATTTATTAGTTAACTAAAATAAATCTATTACAAAATAAAATAAAGGTACAGAAACGTTAATACTGTACAGGGGTGAAAATCACAATACGAGTACATTTGGTTACAACACAATATGGAAATTAAATAAATTTTATGGTCCATAAATTAGTACTTATACACTAATTATGTACTAACGGATAAATTCTATTACATTTTGAGATCTAATTCTATTCGAATTAAAAACAGTGTTGCCATCCTAATGAGTTGTGTTTAAAAAATCAATAAAATCTCATTTAATTTCATTAAATTAATATCTATTTGTTTTTATAATTATGATAATTTTCAAGTTGCAGTGAAGTGATTGAAATTAATTATATAAGAAAAAGCTGCCATTTTATATTCTAATGATTATAAATCTGTAATTTGTAAACAAATTATAATGACATTATAAAAGTAATTATGAAATTGTTTTTAAACACAAAATAAACTGTAAAAACTGTCATTTTATTTGATACTGTGTATTTAATCTCCCTTCAATGCCAACATAATTTTGAATAACCTGCAACATTTTCTTACAACTAAAAGGCAAATTCTATTTCTAAAATCGACTTAAACAGTATTACTAATAAATATTAGACCTAGAAAACTGAGCCTAATACCTAAATATGTATGAAATACTTCTGCCAATGCACTATAGGTGTTTAAAAGCGTATTACGTTCTATAATACTAGTTATAATGGTAGGCAAACAACTTGAGCCAAAACCAAAGGTGGATTGTGTTTTTGCCGACTTCCTAAAAGAATAGGTTCTCAATTTGTCGGAATCTTTTTTAACATGAGAATAAATAAAGGGATTCGTGTCGAATAGTCGTCCCACTGAAGTATGACAGTGACAGAAATAGAGTGCACTTGTGTTTGCGCGCATATTTTTGCACTATAACAGCGGCTCCCAAATAGCGATCCGCGGAACCGTAGGGTTCCGTGTAAGGGTCACAAAGTTTCTGAGTCCCATCCGAGAATTAAATAAAACTTTGTCAGGCATGAAGCCTAATATTGGAGTTATTATAAACAAATTATTGAAAAAAATATATTCATCTCATTAAATAGGTTAAATATTTATGGTACATAAATATTATTATAAGCATTAATATTTTTTTATGATTTGTTCTTTTAAATCATACAAGAATGTATTCTAATTACAACACAATCAGTCTAGTTATCAAAATGGGGATCCGTTAAAATAATATGATATATTAGGGTTCCGTGGCCAAAAAAATTGGGAACCGCTGCACTATAATATCTCATGCGCTACCTTATCTATCTGGCTAGTCTCAATAAGATTGGCCGCCGTGGCCGACATCGGTCAGGACAAACTATTATTATAGATTGTATAACTCGATTACCAAGTACTTAATCTGTCAAGATGTTCACCAATCATTAAACTTATTTAACAATGGCTGCCTAAATAAATTACTGTAATAGAAGAATAAGGAAGCTGAACGGAAAATTCATTTACAATCATTAAATTGACCTCATTAACAAAAATACACAATAGAAAGTCAGCATTTTGCCCCTTTTAAATTGACATGAGTAATGTTTTTTTTTAAATGTTAAGGTGTTGCCAAAATAGACTAAAATATTAAAAAAAAATGTCGATAGTATTTTATTATCTATATGTAATTATTTAGATCGGTTGTCTATATATTTTTAATAATAAGGTCACAATTATTAATACTTGGAATTCACTTTAATCGGAAATCATTTATCTTAAATTATCAAACTTATCAACTTTCAAAATGGTGGTACAAATATTACATCACAATGAGCCAAAAACCTTTTACATCTTTAGCACCACCTTACAATGTTTAATGAAGAACAAGAACAGTTTCAACATAAGTATGAAGATTTAGAATTTCAAAACTACACTAAATTATTATTAATTCAACAGATATCATTTGTAGAAATTAAATAGCATGATTCTTTTTAAGCGTTTTTATCATTAAAAAAATGTTATGTTCCATAAAATCACTAGTGAACACTATAAAGGCCTCTCACCTAGACTCTAGCCTACTTTTAATGCAAAACTATCGATTACAAAAGCAGCAATTTTACTATAAAAAAAAACAATTATCTTACATTAACTTTTCTTTTATAAATAAGTTAATCGACTAATTTCATTTAATCAAAGCGTAATTGTTTTAAAACACAATTTGCCGCCATTTTAGCCTTACAGATTATAGAAGCTCACTTTTTTTTTAATAATTTAATGTATTAATTTAAACTTCAAATCTCTTTAATAAATCTCTTGATATTTGCATTGTTTAATAAAACAAATCTTACTTGGTAAGCAAAATAAAATGAATATAAATAGAATCGAAAATTCGTCAAAAAAAATCTATATTATAACCAAAAACAGCCTTTGGTACAAAACAACCCATAATTATTATTTAAAAAAAAGTCGTCCATTAACAAAATAAATAGATGATCTATAAAATATCCCCTAGATGTTATTTCTATCACAGATGTTATATAATACCATTCCCATCACAATAAACTTTTATGTTTTTTTTTAAATCAAAACAATATTTAACATCATATATTATGTGATAAAGCTACCAATTACATATATAGTTATAATGTTCACAATATAATACATTTATATAAAGCTTATAAACTGCCCAATATAATACAATTAATTTTTATATTTTACATATTCAGACTAAGGAATAATATAGACAGAGTGTCATAGAACTAAAGATGAAGCCAAACAATAACGTTTTAAAATAATATTATATAATGCTTTAGTACAGAATACAATTATAATAGCTAACTAATATAAAAATAATAATAGCTAACGTATTTTATTATGATAAAGAAGATATATTATTTTACCATCTCTTTCAAGGTGAAGAGAACTAAAGTTTAAAAAATAAATAAATAATATAATTTTATTATTATTATCCATATTTTCTTCTCAAAAATTATAATTTAACATCTGACAACTTTCTAAATGCCATAAAAACGACGAAACACGCAACTATTTTCGACTTTGACATATTTTTTTTGGCGGGCTCCTCGTTCATTAATTATTCTTTAGTCTCAGATTACATATTACAGTATGTCTGGAATAATTACTTGAATGTGAAACTTAAATATATCATAAATTAATCTTATTATAATACTTCTTTCATTAATTTACATACTTTTTTATTATGGGGCTGACATCTGACATGTTTTATACATAAAATATGTGGTTTAAATTTCTTTTGTTGTTGTTCATATTGTCATTTTAAGAAGGGTCAAGGGTTAAAAATATACAGCCATTAGTTTTTGTTATGTCGACAGTTACATTAGAAGCAAAACATTTTATCCTTAAATAGGTTCAAATAACGATTGAATTAAATATAAATTATCTATCACTTATTAGATTATCATCTTTGATTATTCTGTAATTAGTATACAGACATATAAAAAAATTGAGTGCGTATAACCACTACGCGCGGTTGAAGTAAAACTTGTTTGGCGCTATGGCAGATACCGCAATTAAGCTAAAACAAATAAAAATAATAATATGTTTTATAAAATGATTAATTATAAATATATATTTTTATAAATAATAATTATTATAAAAATATAAATATAATATTTTTTTTTAATTATGAGTAATAAATTTGACACTCATTTTCCCAATGTATTGACTTACCCCCGAGTCACGCCCAAAGAAGTTTTACTTCAAAAGTTAATAGATAATTGCTTTAATAATTATAAAACAAAAACAGATAAAGCTAAAGTAAATAATTTTGCGAGAACTACAACTCACCTATAATCTTCAATGTTTATGGCATTTCTGGCGTAAAATCTCACTAGCATTGAATCACAAATTTTTTAAAACGTCCCACACGAATGAAAGTCTTTGGTGGAGGACTAACAGGATTATGTTCTACAATTGGTAGCCGGTTCGAATCTGGTGGTTGTTCTCGGCGTCGGGCTGCTGGATGAGTGGCGGGGAGAGTGGGTCCTCGCTGGAAGTCACTGTGGTTGATGGTGGTGCATCTTTGAGAAACAAATATTAATTATTAATTTATTCATTTTTATCTAATAAATTAGTATTAGGTATTATGAACAAACAAATATACTTTTGTTTATTGGAGGTTGCGTTAAAATGTGCAAAAATTTTACAATGTTTATGTATATAATATTATATAAAAAGTACCTGGGCCACAGAGCTTCGCTCGAAATTTTTGGTCAAAAACACAATTTTCTTTAAAAAAAACAAAAAAGTCGAATAAATACAAAAAAAAAACAAATAAAAATTATACCTTGAAATTCGACCGGGATTCGAACCCGGACACTTATTTAATCTTGCGCCTTGGCCGCTTGACCATGATGCTTGTGACCGAGCGTGCGAAATTATTGAACATAATATTTTGCATGGAATAATCCAAAAGAAAACCGCATAAAAATTCGAAAACACGTGTTTTCCCAGATATAAGACTAATCTAGATCGATTTATCGCCCCCGAAACCCCCGTGTGCTAAATTTCATGAAAATCGTTGGAGCCGTTTCCGAGATTCAGATTATATACATATATATAAATATATATACAAGAATTGCTCGTTTAAATATATTAGATTAGATGGTTATTCACCTTTATTTCATTGCCATTTTGTTATTTGTCAGAATTACTTAATTAATATTTCCTTTTTAATTTACAGATGCCACATTAAAATAACCAGTACCATATAAAATCAGTCGAATTTGATTAATACGATCATATAGACATGCCAAAAAATAGATATTAAAAAACCCTCTTTCGATTTCGATCGGATAAAAAGCAGTTATGTACTAGATGTTATAAAAAATTACAATAAACATAAATAATTATAAAAAATTACCTTCACTATCATCTTCCTCAGCCAACCACTTCTGTATATCAGCCTGATACATTCTCCTTTGAAGAACCTCTTTTGTACGCGGCCTTGTACCTATGAAAGTCACTTGCACCTATTAAAAAAAACAAAGTTATTTTTAAGGACTACAACCACGGTAATGTTACATACAGTATTCCATCTTCATACAAAAGGTCGGAAATCGAGTTATACCTACGCTCGTCGCGTTCGGTATACACTCGGTAGACAACCGCGCGGGGCTGCCACATCGTATAATTTGATACGAAAATTTTATAAGATGGTTATGTTATGTAACTTTTATAATTGGATACAAAAATAAACCTTTTATTCCTCCCGTAAAGTCGCTATTATGTCAAACAAAAAAGTATCAAGACATCGTATGTTTTAAAAATAAAAACTAATTAATTAAATTAAAAATTAAAGTATTTTTAATTAAACTTTTTATCCGAATGCGGATCCTTTATACTATTAAATTTTACAATAAAGCTTTTCGTACGTCTCAGTCGAGGCGCAAATATTTTCAAATCTCAAATTTATAGCAGCCCTGTCGCGTGGGTACGTGCCGCTCGGCTGTAGGTAATTATTTCAAGGACATGCCCGAGTTGCAATACTGTATGCATTACATTACCGTGCTACAACTAATGAAAAAAAACTTTAAAGAAAGTAAACGAACTGTATATCAAAATCGATAATATTAGCATAAACAGCAAATGACGCTACTATTTTTGACTTTGACATTTATTTTGGCGGACTCTATCTATGTTAGTCTGAGCTTTTAAATTAAAAACTGCAACGATTTAATAACATTAATATGACAGTAACTATTTCACCCATAGTGATATAATTTATTTTATTTAATATAAAATTCCACGCGGACATAACTTGTGCAGTAATAAATAAGTTACCTTTGTTGTAAAAAAATATTCAAAATTTATAAACTAACGTGTATGAAAACTCCTAAAAAACTTTCATAAAAACTCGTTAATTATAAAAAGTAAATTAGTTTAATAGTTTTTTTTATTAGTAACTAGTGACTCAACCTCGCTTCGCTCGTATTCGTCTAGTCGTCCAGGTTGATTCCCCATACAAACTTACATCCCCATTTTTACTCCCTTGAGGGACAATTTCCGTAATAAAAAATATCCTGTGTCCTTCCCAGAGTCTCAAACTATCTTCTTACCAAATTTTATCTAAATCGGTCCGGTAGTTTTTGAGTTTATTCGTTACAAACATACAAAAATACATATCTTTCCTCTTTATGGCGATGTTCTCCTGACCGAATCCGGCCACGGCGGCCAATCTCATTGAGACTAGCCAACTGCGCAGGAGATTTTATAGTGCAGCGCGTGCACGCGCAGACACAAGTGCACTCTCTGTTCCTGTTACTCTCACACTCCGGTGGGACGACGCGAGGCATGACCGGTGAGAGTGTCGGCGCAGGACCGATGCGACTCGTGCTCTGCCTCGGCACAGGGGTGAAACACCGCCAACTTCCCAACTCCGGGCTGTTACTGAGGCTTACTATACAGAAAGACTCAATAACTAAACTTGGCCCGACCCGGGACTCGAACCCAGGACCTCCGGATGTGCAGCCGTACATGCTAGCCACTACACCACCGAGGCAGTTTCCTCTTTACTAAGATTTTCCTCTTTATAATAGTAATGTAGATAATAACTCACTCCCGGAGGTAAGAATATCCGCAGCTCCTCCGCCAGGTCGCCGCCGGCCCCCAGCCGCTGCGCCTCCTCCCAGCTAGTGTGCACCTCCTCGTGGAGGAGCTTCTCCTCTAAAATAAAAGATATTGACAAGATATCAAGATTATTATTATTATCATAACGCCAAAAAATAAATCTTTTCAGATTTTATCGATTTTACATTTATTTTGATTTTTAATTACCGGACGTGTTAAATTCTTTTCGTTTTTCAGCAATCGTGGTCATGGGAAAGACTAAACCCGCGAGAAAATACGAAAAAGACAATTATATTTAATAAAAAGTCATATATTTGCGTACATCTTAGAAAATATTAAACATAATAAATTCAGCATTTAGTCTATGTATAATGTAATTCATTCATCATTATACTATAGTTGTTACAGACAGCACCTACCAACTATTTATTATAATGACCGAAGGTCTAAAAGAAGTCTAAGATCTTAGTCTCTCTGTAACCAATATGAGCGCTGTAAAGCATTCGAATAGTCGGGAACCAAAAATGTAAATACATCTGCGCACACGCACACGCACACGCGCACGCACACGCGCACGCGCACGCGCACGCGCACGCGCACGCGCACGCGCACGCGCACGCGCACGCGCACGCGCACGCGCACGCGCACGCACACGCACACGCACACGCACACGCACACGCACACGCACACGCACACGCGCACGCGCACGCGCACACGCACACGCACACGCACACGCACACGCACACGCACACGCACACGCACACACACAAACACACGCACACACACACACACACACACACACACACACACACACACACACACACACACACACACACACACACACACACACACACACACACACACACACAAACGCAAACTTATTTAAGTAATTAATTGTAAATTTTTATTTTGTTTTCACTCTGTTTGTTGACTTTCTATTCTTGGTGGATGAGCGGGGCACCCAGTAATACGGGTCTCCACCTAGTACAGGAGCCCTTGCGACTAGCTTGGAATGTAATCTTTAAGTCAATAAAAGTATTTTTATTTATTATCTATTTATTAGTTGTTTGGAGTGCACAAGTTAAAATACTTATAAGTTTAAAGTACTTTATTTACTGAAGTTACATTGTAATTTTGACGACTCTAACTGGCCACGTCTGTTTGACTCAGTGTCCTTAAATGCACTCGTATTAAATAAAGTAGCGACGCATCACCTCGAAAAGGCATCTCGCAAAGTAAGCTAAACTAAAAATGTACGTCAAACCGCACCAATTAAATTTGCTTAATTTTCCCAAAAAATCATTTATAACATATTAATATTTAGTATATTACAAAATCTCCCTAGTAAAACCTAACAGTCTACACCTAACTCAAAACTTACCGTCCCGCTTCGTGGTGCTGCGTTTATACTGTATTCTGAAGCGGAAGGCTTCTAGCACACTCGCCACCACTATCGTGAGTACCACCATGGTGAATAGATAGAAAACCTAAAATATAAAAATTCAATTCAATTTTCTTGTTAATGGCTTCAAAGCGTTCCAATTGAGCACAGATTACTTCGCCAATGTCACAATGCGTGAAATTATAATAGGTATACCTAAAAATATCCTGTAATATTGTAAGAAGGAAACGCTTGACAATACTCTGGGTAGTTATAATTTTACTAGTGACATTATAATTTAACGAATCTTACAATTTTCCAAGTACAAGTTTTAAGGGATAAATAGTAAAAACCTTAATTAGAGATAAATGGTTGGTAAATTCGAGTTTTTTTTTTACAAAAAAAAATCAGTCTATAATCTAATTCTATTACACCTAATAATATATTATTTATACAAAAATCAACACAAAGGAGTAGACAGATATTAATAAACAAATAACATTAATGAGGATGTGTGTAGTGATAGTGACATTCGGCCATTTTAACTCCACCAAGCTGGCGAAATACGATTTGGCAGACCTCACATGACACATCTATTATGAAAATTTCCGTTTAGGTTCTGATAAACATGCTGGTATCCTCTTGACATTTTCTTTTACGTTTTTACTTCAACTAAGGCGACAGTAACATGACTAAGACTAGGGGTTTGAACCCCACATGGTTTCAGAAGAAACCATGTTACCACGTGTAAATATATTCACTTGATAGTAATATTACAAATATTTTTGCGAGTAACTGTATTTGTTATCTTTTCTCGCTGAAATTGCTTGACAGGTTTTAGAGAAGTCCGTAATAAAGATAGTTTATATAAAAGATAAAACACAGGTAAATTTCACCGCTACAAGTCCAACGCGGCAAGTTATTATAATTAAAATTAATGTTACCATAAAGTAAATTCTGCTGAACTGTCCAACGACGGTCGCGTAGGCATTCATTAATATGAACCAGTTGTTGACGACCGTCAGCTCGAACAGAGACACGCCGCTTGTTAGAATGTTCTCGAAATTATTCAGGTAGTAGTATCCGAGGGCCGTGGAACTGTTCTCTGAATATTTGTAGAAATCTTCTACTGTCGTATTACTGGAAATAAGAAAACGATACTATATAGATATTGGGGAGTAATTGTGCTAAACTAGCACGCTTTGAAGCCACGATAAATTAAATTGAATAGATACTTTATGTTCATATAAAGAATCTATTGAATTCAATTTAATATTATATATCATTTGTCAGACAATAACAACGGTTACAATGGCAACAAACGTTCGCCTCGCCCGATCACACTTTTCGTAACGCTCTCGTAACGCATTCACCAGCTTACTCCCCAAGTCAAGCTACGCAAAGAAGTTTTACTTCAAAAATAAATATAGATGTTGGCACTCACACGCAACAGTTGCGCAGGTCGTAGCCGGCGAACAGCTCCATGCCGATGATGGCGAAGAAGTAGTACATGACGAGCATGACGCAGCCCGCCGACGACATCAGCGGCGACAGCAGCACCAGCGTGCCGAACACGTCGCGGTACCGCTTCTTCAGCTTGTACAGCCGCATTAATCTGTGCAAGCGGTATTCCTTGAGAACCTTCTACAGATTCCTTTCAAGAGCTTTCTTTTTAACTTATTAGAGAAAACCTTGTCAATGAAAATTAACTGTGTATGAGTTATTACATGGTGTATGAATTAGCTTATTTTAATATCCAGTCTTCGACTATTTCTATACGAAAAATCACAATAAATAGTCTATTCTGTTACTCCGTTTTGACATGAAAAAAAAACAAACATTAACATACATAATATTGTCATAAATGGTACCAAGCATTGTCTATACATTCGTTAGTCACGAGGGTGTAACAAACTGAGCTCCCAGCTCTGGGCTTGCTCAGAATTACTTAGCAAAAAAATTCAACTAGATCTAGGACTTGAACCCAAAACGTGATCTTCAGTCATAAATGCTAGCCACTAAGACCAATGAAATATAACTAATAACCATTCCACAAAAGAATCGAACCCGTACCTATTATACCATACCATGAAAGCCTATGTCACAAAATAATCAAACCCATACCTATTATACCATGAACCTCACCTGAGTGGTCTAAACATAACCACGATGAAGAGTTTCGGAGCAATAGTGAGAAGTACAGCGCCGAGCAACGCCAGCAGCGTGACGCTCAAGTCGAACACGTTCCAGCCGTTTTCGAGGTACACTGAGAGACCAGACGCCATTATCCTCAGCGATGCTTCTAGAAGGAACACTGAAATGACACACACAATAATAGAATATTCAAAAATGAAAATATATTGGCGATAGATATCATTAAAAAAGAAAATGGCGATTCTTAGGCGCCAGATTGTGTCTTGAAAAAAACGAAGGTGGTACAGACTGCATAATACCATGTTTTTTCATCAATTTGTTCTCATTTTTTTACTTCGCTTTTTACGAAGTCTGATTTTTTCCGACTAACTACACAAATACCTCCTTTATGTTTTGAATTTATTAATATTTTTTCTTTAGATATGTTACGCGATATTTCAGATTCTTTCAGAAGGTTTAGAAGTACTTTTAAATCGTCAATTTTTATATTTAAATATCAGAAATGTAAGTTGTTATCATACTTCACAATACAAACATCCCATTAAAATCCATCCAGCAGCTCTTCAAGTATCTCTTTCTCTTCATTTGGTTTCTAAGACTCTAAAATTAATATAATCAATTGCATTCTTTTAGTCCCGTCATATAACACTATTTCTCACGTCCATAGGGACTGGAAGAGATCTCTTCTAGAGATAAGTCCACATTTACCCACATTAGTCTCTGTATTATCTGTGTTACTCTGTTAATATGCAATAAAGAATATATATAATACCCTCCATTCTTGAGTATTTTTTATCGTACTAGATCATTTTTTTTAAATATTAACTTTCAAACTTTGCTTCAGTTACATCTTCAATGGTTAACTTACATATAAGGAAAAGCCAAGTGTCCCAAGAAGCACAGAGCAACCTAGCGCTATCCTGCAAGTCTCCCGCCGCCTGGCACACTCTAAGTATCATAGATACTCCATTGCCAATTATTAAGGCATCTGTAAAGAAATATAGTAAAAAAAAACAAACAGACATTAGTAAAACTTATATACGAGTCTTTTATTGTGTAAAGTGTTTAAATAAATAAATATTTACTTTATATCACACTAGTGACTCAGCCTCGTTTCGCTCTTGTTCGTCCCGAGGTACTTTTTAATGGTTAGTGCGGAATAGTTTTTATTAATATAAAATATACACATATGTATTATTATATATGTATATTTTATAATCATCAATATACATAGGTATGATGAGTTGTATATCCCTTACTTGAGAAATGATTGATTCCCCATACAAACTTCTATCCCAATTTTCACCTTCTTATGGGCTGATTTCGGGAATGAAAACTATCCTATGTCCTTCCCAGGGTCTCAAACTATCTACATGCCAAATTTCATCGGTTCAGCGGATTATGCGTGAAAAGGTAACAGACAGACAAACAGAAAGGGTTACTTCATTTTACAATTAGTATTATAACTAGCGACTCATCCTCGCTTCGTTTGGGTTCGTCCCTAGGTACGTTTTAATTTTTTTGAGCGGAACCCTAATTATTTTTCTAAAATAAAAGTAGCCTGTGTTACTTTCTTTATCATTAGCCATCTTCCAGAAAAAGTCCCGTCAAAATCAGTCCAGCCGTTTCAGAGATTATCCGGAACAAACAGACAGACAGACAAAAATTAAAAAAAAATGTGTTTTTCTTTTATGTACCGTATATAATTTCATATGCATTTAGTAAAACGCTGTTATTTTAACATTATAAACAGACACTTCGATTTTATTTATGTGTACCTATAGAGTGTAGGTATAAAATAAGCGATACATACATATGAGATACTCGAAGTATGTCCAGCGCACGGCGGCGGCGGCGGCGCGGCCGAGCGGCTCCAGCGCGCCGGCGGCGTACCACGGCGCGCGCGCCGCCTGCGCCGCCCAGCGCAGCGCGAACACCTCGTACACGTTGGCGAACTCCGCGCGGCTCAGCCCGCCCGACCCCGACGCGTTCAGCTGCTTGAACATCAGGTACACGTCCAGACCGCCTGCACGCGATAAGTGCAATATATGTATATGTTAATGTAGGAGAGGAGTAGTAATTTTGGAAAATAATTTTCACCAAATCTATTTAATATGGATTATTTAAACATTCTAAGGTTGTTCTTTCGTTTGTTTTGTTTGTTTGTTTTTTTCAATTCTCAATGTTCACTGCCCAGGGAGATATTACTTATATTATGTAATAGATCTGTAATAATAGGCTCGTAATGTCTAATCAATAGTGCAATCCGTGTTGTGCCTCATAAAGGCACTCGCCCACACGTCTGCCCTATTAGACGTCTAAATTGAGCGTCCGTATGGATTAGTAAACGTAGATAGTGTGCCGCGAACTCACTGTAATTGGGCGCGTAATGCCGCAGCAGGCCGGCGAAGTGTCGCAGACGCACGGCGCGCGGCGCGCGGCGCGACACCAGCAGGCGGAAGGCGCGCCGCGCGGCGCCGCGCCGGTGCAGCAGCAGCGCGCGGCACTTGTCGCGCTCGATGCGGGTGAACGCCTCGTACACTACCGCCAGCATCTGGTGGTGAATGGATATAGCTTTAGGGTGAAGAGTACAGAGGTTGACTTTGAATTTAGGAGGACAGTGATATTCAAAAACTCAAGATATACAATTAGTGCCTCGAAATTGTCCTCAAAAATTAACACAATACGAAATTGTATTGCGCTCTTTTCAAATCTCTTTTGTTTATTGCTTTTCGGATGATAAAATTAAAACGCATGTTGTACCTCTTCAATAAATATTTTATGTGGTGTGCGTGTGTAGGTTCGAATTTGTGTTTAAACAATTGTCGAATTTTGAATTTTGTTTCGATTTTTGAATTTTGTTCTTTGGTTTGAACTTCGATATGATTAATATACCTACTTATACGAATGTAATGTATGTTTAAAAGTTAAGAAAATAAATCTTACCAAATTCATGAGAACGTAGAGAACAGTTATAATGTATAGAATGAAGAACAGCGCGTACCACTTCGACTTGGCATAAGAAGGCATCATCACATCTGGGAAACTGCAAACATAATTTAAATATAAGTTAATTATATAAAATAACATTTTCTAAATATTTAATACTAAAAGCTATATTTAAAGATTTTAGGCATATCGTGTTTTCTTAATAGCTAATAAAACATTTATTAAACTTCAGCTGTTTCACTTTATAAAAACCAAATGAAAATGTTCAATATTTTTAAATATTTCTCGTGTTTTCGATTTTTCTTGCATTTTCAATAAGTATCGTACTACCGCACCACTAACGATCTGCCAGTTTTAGGTCTTTTATATTTTTAATGAATTAGTTCAGAGTGTTGTTTCGTAAGTGTCAAAAATATTAAGAACAGAGAATAGAATGATAGGTTAAACTAGAGTTTACAATCTTATAATATTAAATGAGCAATTCAAAATAGGTGTATTTTTTGGAAAAAGCGTATTTTTTCCAAGCAAAGATTATAAATTATTATTAGAGACTTTTTCTATCTGCTCTCATTTTGATAATATCATATTGCGCCATCTCGTAAATGTTTGTGATACTTTCATTGTCGCCAATGAATGATAACATACTGAACGAGCGCCCACGTCAAGTGAAGCTATAGACGTAATGAATGGACTGAGCAATACTGTCATGAAAATTGAAATTGACCACTCTCTAGAAAGAGAGAAAGCGAACATGCGGCCATTACCGGGCGTTTTATTCCTATTTAAATTTATAAATGGAATGTTAAAAAAAAACAGATAATAGAAAAAACTGGTTATAAATGTCTATCTTCAAATTAATCGTACTTAATTTAATAAAGAAGGCTTCTGGCCGCACTTTCGTTGTGTTTCTGTTGCACCTTTCCGCCATTTTGAGTTTATGGATGTCAAAGAAATAGTAAGTCCACTCTCATAAATCTATGGTTGCAAGGTACTTAAAATTTATAAGATCAACTTACTTGGCAGTCGTGAGAAGAACAAACATACTGACAAAAGAGTCGCTGATTGTTTGAAAGTGTCCATTGTCGATATGCTCCGAGAATAAATAGTATCCTAACAACGAATATGTTGCCACGAAGAACATTAATAGACCTGGAAATATTATATATTATAGTGCTTATTTACATTCTTAATGACCTAAATAAAAAAATTACGTCAAATCGTATTTAGTGTTGGAGCATTTTATGGTAAAAATTTAGCAATTTAAAAATATCGATTTATTTAAAAAAAACTAACTATTCATATGTCACTGCAGTAATAATATAATATTTTCTTAATTGTGAAAAAGTAATTTTAAATTTAATGATGTAAAATAAGAACTTTATATAGTATATTAATTTATATGTTTATCGTTGTCATTTTCATTTCTAAGATTTGAACATAAAATATAACCTAAAACCTTATATAAATCGACTATAACGATGGAAGAATATTAAAAACTAACCACATTTAAAGGTAAATGTTGCTAGAATCAAATAATTCGTAATAAATAGGTAAATGGACATCTTACCTAACATATCTATAATAGGCGGTAAAGATTGCAATATCTGTCTGATAAACCGTCTCACTCCACCACAGTGCCGTGTGTCGACCAAGAAAATGGGCCGTAAGGCTCTCGTCACTCTAAAATGAGAGGATTGCCTACAAAGTACCACCACTGCTTCTAAAATCATTATTAGTAGTGTTATACCCTGAAAAAAAGTTTTATTAAATTAAAAAAAATATATGTAGATATATACATATTTCATTTTTTTATCTAAATTTAGGACTTTTTTAATTTCATTTCAAGACATGTAACACCTCAGTCTCTCCCGTGACCATGGATGCTGTAAAGCATTCGAAACGTCGGGAACCAAAAATCAAAATAAATCCGCGAAATAATCCGAAAAGATAGTTTCATTTAAAAGTTAAATTATTTCCTTTTAATGTAAAAACAATGATTGTATTATTTTTTTTAAATAAATATTCAAATAATTTGAATAAATATTAATACATTCTTATATTTATGCGAATATTTGAAATAAAACTATCTTTACGGATTTCTTTTTCATAACACCAATCATGGTCATAGGAGAGGGGTCTCCTCCGTGCCCGCTCGGAAAAAGAACCGAATAAAAAAACGAAAAAAATAGTTTTATTTAGAATTAATATTTTGAGTTGGCTATTTTAATTCATTTTATAATATGTATGTAATCTATTTGAGTTATTATAAAAAACCTATCAATACCTTTAACATCGTCCTCTTATGTTTAAAGATTGTTCCCCATCCAATCCATTTAAGTTTAAGATGTAGTTCAACACCTATCACAGTTAATGCCAACAATTCTATAGTACCGTGCGCCCAAACTGGAAGCTGAAAAAAAAAATTATTTAGTAAAAAATAACAAAAATATTTTGTGATATTTAAAAATAAAAAAAAATAGTGTCTACGTAAAATATTTTTGTTAATTCAAAAAACAACAAAGCAAAGATTGAGAAATACAAAAAATATCATATAATTCTTTTCTCCAAAAATGACCCAAAAAATAAATAACTAATGACTTACAAAAATTAGCCTCATTTTGATTCGATATCATTTCGAGCACATAATTAAAAATTATTGGTTTTCATAGTTCACACTATATTTTTGTTTAGCCATCAATATTGTAATACTTACCTCAAAAGCGGGAACGGCGGGATCTTCAGTGAATGCGAGTAGAATAAGAACTAAGGAAGCCAGTAGGTCCAGCCCGTGGTACCAAGGGTTGTGGACGCGGAGGTACGCTGGCAACTCCTCGGGACTTGATGGATGAGAGTCAAATTTCTCATTATTTAGGCCTTCCTGAAAGGAAAAAAATATTATTGTTGTTTGGATTGAATTTTCTACCATGACTGACCTGACCTATACATTCGAAAATATAAGTATCTACCTAATAATTCGAAATCTTCAAAGGAGTTCAATTAGTTTTAAAATTCCTGTCGAACAATCAGTTGTACAAAATAAACACACCCACGTTAAAACTATAAAAGTGCCTCTCTATTCCCTTCACTCCCATATTCCAGTGAAACATCACAAAACTCGCGGCGAGACCGGACGCAAACAACAACAACCTGTCACAACTCCAACTTCGGGTTGTTGAACTAAAAATTTCGTAATAGAAAAATACAACCTGGGCCTCTAAGCCAGGATATCTGCAGCCACCCTAGCCACCAATGTTAGACCAACTAGGTACCTAATTATGGTTTTCGCACCAATCGCTTACAGCGAGTACACACAGTAATAAATATTTTTGTATACTAACTTCTAAATAAATAGCAGCTTCATGGTAGTTCATCTCCCAATGCTCGTCCTCCGACATCTGCAGGCCGGTGTGGAGGGACGACCTGCTGCCCATGTCCAGCGTGCCATCTCCCGCGCCATCTGTGCTGGTCCGACTGTCTGGAAACAAGTAACCATAGGCTTGTTTAACAACTTGCAATGAATAGCGACTGGCAACAAATTCTATAAACATAGTACACTAAGAGATTAGAAAACCAAATCACTACGAGAATAAAACATGATATTACAGAGTATATCTACAAAAAATGAATAATTAATAAAAGAAACTGTCAATATAAAAAATAAAATGATTCAATCTAATAATTAACAATTTAAATAACAACAAATTTTAACTAACTGGCTGATCAGACAAACGTCGTCATTTCTAAATTTTGATAAAGTTTGTGATCTTTGATTTAATACAAAAATTCTAAATTGCATTTTAAGTTTTCCCCAATTCCTTATTTTCCAGGAAACTTTTCCATTTTTCCCTAAAAATCTTATTTGATCAATAATGAAAATTTAAAAAAATTGTCAAAGCTGATCATCCGACTCCGAGTGATCAGTATCTCATTTTTATGTCTTTTCCATTCTCCGTGACATTGGCGAAGTACCTAATATTTTTATATAATTACTAGAATTTACCCCTTTTTAAAATATTAGATAAATAATATGTTAATAATAAATTAAATATGTTATATTTATTTTATTCACTGAATAATTAAGTAAAAGATGAATGAGACGAACCCCAGCGAGAGTAATTTTTAACTGCACACAATATTTTATTAAAACCCATATTTTAAAAATAGTTAAAAATTACTGAAAAAACCTAACGATGTCAGTTCCTTTACTCAAAAGATATCATAATATATAAACGTTAAAATTATGAGAATGTCAGATAAAAACCAGCAGTAGGATCGACAAAAAAAATATTGAAAAATTATATAAAAGATTTATATCTGCGAGGTAAAATAGGGGTTTTAAATTTTGATTTTATTTGTCTGGCATCATACATCTTGAACGAATCAATATTGTTATTATAAAATAAACCTAAAAAAATATTTTGGCAGCTAAGTTATAATAAGTTGATATTTTTATTTCCTGTAGTGACAGCTTATACTTAATGGTCAAAAGGCAAAGGTCTCAAATTCATTCATGCTTGAAATCTTAGAATTGATAGATTGTAATTCAACACCGGTAACATGTAAAGACAAATTAAGATTAATGTAATGCGAAAAGGTCCGCCATTTTTTAACTTAATATAATTAGGATGACATAACAAATAATAACTATTTTTTTGTTTCTCTGGTATTAGTGATATAGCGTAATTAATCTGTAACTGTTTCCAAAACCAAAGTAAGTATATACTAATTACTTTATCGTCTATTGATGCTTTGATGTACCTATACTTTTATAAGCATTATCTAAACGCTAAACAAAGATTTAAATAAATAGTGACGGTATATCATCCCTTACCGCCAATTTGATATTTTACTCTCTTAACATACAATTCAAATAAAAAAACATAACTCTTTTTTTGGCTTTGTCGCACTCTACATGAAGCCGGCACAACATGTTTGCTTCTTCCACTTCCTTCTCTCATTCACCATCTCAGCACAAACTCCTTTCACACACATACCCTTTCACATACAGACCATCTATATCTCTCTCGACCTTTTTTTTAACGTTGGGAAATGCATTTACGCACGAGGTGTGGGACTCACCGGCAAAGCCAGTACTACCCACTAAAACCCAACAAACCACGGGGTTGCTCCAAGGTCCACTCTGCTATCAGAGAAGTACCAGGAGCAACCCGCATGGTCCACCGCCCCCCGAAGAGGGCCGCCTCCCACCGCCCACCGACGTGGGCCACTTCCCTGTGCGTTTCTTGGCTTCGCGCCCGGCTGAATTGCCGGGGAACATTGGGGGGTATCTCTCTCGACCTACTTCTACTTCTGTCAATTCACATTCAACCTAAAATCTCCTTACAAATATGACTTTCTTCCATCCTCTTGATATGTACAATGTTAGGTATACAATTTTGGGATTGAATTCCTCATTTGTATTTTCTTTTGTATTTTCTTAAAAAATTTTTTCACTGCATTGTTAAAGTGAAACATAACATATATTTTTTTTGCTAACGGTACACTATCTTTATTACAAACATTTACTCTGTGATATTTACGTTATTTCACTGTAGACGTAATCAAGTCAAGGTAATCAAAAATGCAATGTCTATATTAATAGAAAAATACTACTAGTCTTTACTCAATATTTATAATATTACTAGCATTGCCCGCGGCTCCGCCCGCGTTCAGATGACCAAAAACCAAATTCTTAGGTTTTACATATTACTCTTACATTGCAGTTTTTGTATTTTTTCTCGAAAATGAGATATTTTCCCGCAGTAAAAAGTATCCTATATGTTGGCCCGGATAACCAGCTATCACCATACAAACTTTCATCAAAATTCCTCCAGTGGTTTTTCTGTGATGCGGTAACAGACAGACAGACGACAGACAGACAAAAATTCTAAAAACTATAGATTCGGCCTCTGTATCGATAATAATGTTTATTTCAATAAGATTTTCCAAAAAATATTTATTGTACAGATTCGGCTTAGTTACAATTTTATTATATGTATAGAAAAGTGTAACTGATCACTGTCTGTAAATGGAAGATATTTGAGAAACAATTTTTGGGGGGTCTTCATTAACGCAATAGAACCCAAAACAAGATTTGTAGAAATTATGTCTGTGCGTTTATGCGTGCTTATTTCAGAAATGGCTTAACCGATTTGGATGGGGTTTTCACTAATTTATTGTGGTCAACGTCACTTAACATTTAGTATAACAAATAAGTACTAAATGTTATGTGAATATTATTTCACTAGGTTCGTAAATAAAAAAGTTATATCAATTTATCACCTCCAGGTAAATTTCTAAGAAATTAATTAAATTTCTAAGAAATCTATTGTTAACTGTAACGCCGGTGTGTCCGCGGTCGTGGAGGGATTAAAGAATCACATCAAACATTTACCTATTAAAAAACTAGGGACGAATCAGAGCAAAGCGAGGGTGAGTCGCTATATACCTAATGTTTAAAGCTTTAATTCAAAATAGCTACAATATTGTACCTTGCATGAAGTGTTGATTTGTCCATAACTGCGTATCATAAACACTTTATATAGTGGTGCGTAGGACCGGAACTCAAGAGTATATTGTTAGCTATAAACTCGACCTTTTGAGGCGACTTTTTAAAACTTACTAACTCATAACTCAAAATGTCTAATAAAACCAGCAGTTATTACTATTTACCTACATAACTTTTTGAAATAGACTAGGGTACACCGACTTTAAAATTACCTACTACATAGTAATTATCACACCCGTAAAAGTGGATTATTTCTTAGAAATATAAAATGATTTATATGAGATTTTATAAAGTATAAGCTATGCGGTTTATAATCGGCGAAGATATCGCGTAACAGATTATACTAAAAACAGCAAACACACAGACGCAAATTGAGCATTTTCCTCATTTCTTGAGACACATTTGAAACACACCTTGACAAATTTTAACAGTGTTTAAATAAAAAAAAAATATCGGATGTTTCATAGATCCATATTTTTATGTGGGTTTGAACTGTGGGAGGAAACTTCATATAAGGTAAAACTAGAAAAAGCTTTCTTATGTAATAGATAATACTTTGATTTTCCTTGAACTAAGAGTTTTTTCAACTTTGCTATTATAAACTATTCTCTCAGAAAATTCAGCTAAAAGTTCTTGAAAATTATTATATCTTAAACTTTTTCTTTCGAAATATATTAAAAATGGTTTATACGTACTTAATCTAAATAAAAAATTTACCTTGTATTAGAAGCAAGCACATAAGATTCATTATAAAAACACTCAGATGGTGATTTCAATAGTGCAATATACAATTACAACGATTTAACATAATATTAAAATATAAATAAAAGTTAAATCTAAATTAAACTAGCAATTTGTAAAACTATTTCTATGCTATTTGTTTTTGTCAGGCGCACGATGTTTGTAATTTTTAACTGTACACTACTGTGTAATATTTAATCGTACTATTTATTATTATTAGATAGTAAATCAATATATTTTAAGAGATTGAAAATAACTATTAATTACGTAATTAACTAATAATATAAACTATAAATTACGGAAACCATAAAATTCGTAACAGTGTTAAGAAAACGTCTATCACGCAATTGTTTTAAACGACCTTACTGTCAAGTGCAAGTATGAAACGGCTACCGACAAATCGTGATTTTGAAATGATTACACAATATGATGAGGAGGGAATGTCGTATTGTTAATTTGTAAATTATTCTCCTCTTAAAATACACGGTGCAGGTACAATTTAAACAGTATAACCTATATATTTATTATGAATTTGTTATAATTGAAATAAAACAAATACTAAATGTTAAGTGAAGCTTATCACAATATATTAGTGAAAACCTCACCCAAATCGGTTAAGCCGTTTCTGAGATTAGCGCACACAAACGCACAGACATACAAACAGACAAAAATTCTAAAAATAATTATCTTGGGTTCTATTGCGTTAATAAAGACTCTTCCATGTACAAACAGCTATCATTACACTTTTAGTACATTATATACCCATAGATAATAAAATTAGTCGGTTAATAAATTGGCGCAAATATCGAGTAAAATGCACCCAAAAATTATTACATAAACCTAATTGAGTAAGTGTATCCACGCATTTCTCCGAAACTAGTAATCGGATCGTGATCATTCTTTTTTATTTATTTTAACTTACGAAATAGTAAAGATTTCATATTTAGCATATTGGTATTTGTATGAATTATATAATAATAATTAAATTTTTGGTGATTGATCTGAACATTTCTGAAATTGTTAATTTATAAAAATATCAATAACTAAGTACTTTATAAGTACCTACCTTAAAATTTTATATCTTAAAGTACCTGCACGTTAGTCATTTGATACCTATAATTTACATTTTACGTCGTCTCGAAACATACCGTATCAATTATCAAAACACTTCTTATGCTTTATTTGAATGAATAAAATTGATAATCCATACATATAATAAAATTCTAACTAAGCCGAATCTGTACATAGAATATTTTTTGGAAAATCTTATTGAAACAGACATTATTATCGATACAGAGGCTAAATCTATAGTTTTTAGAATTTTTGTCTGTCTGTCTGTTACCGCATCACGGAAAACCCACTAAAGGGATTTTGATGAAATTTGGTATGGTGATAGCTGGTTATCCGGGTCAACATATAGGATACTTTTTACCGCGGGAAAATATCTCATTTCTGAGAATATATACAAAAACTGCAATGTAAGAGTATACTACTCGTAATATGTTAAACCTAAGAATTTGCTTTTTGGTCATCTGAACGCTTTTTTTATTTTATTTTATTTATTTATTTATTTTTTATTTTATTAGATAACTTATTTAACTTACATAATTTTAATGGATACCACTGATCCCTAATAGAATCATATAATTTACTTGTTATACTCGCTAAATTTGACATGTCACACAATGAATATAAAAACTATTGTTAGTCACGCACAACTCAGGAGCAGATGATTTATCTTACATCAAAAGTGATAAGATAGTGTTTGATCTACAGCTATTATTTATGGTATTAAATAAATAGGGCAGTTTGAATCTTACGAGCAAAATTTACTTATAAAATATTTAATCTGATAAAAGGATTTTCTTGTTATAGTGATTTTACAGTATTTTTTTGTCTTTATGTTAGAATCAGTGCTAAATATAAAATAATTTATGTGCTCAGTATTTTATTTTAGCAAGACTCAATGCATAAGAATTTCTAATTTAGAAATCAATATAAATGTTTAAATCATAGGAAAAATTATTCTGATAATAATTAGTCCTAATTTAAAAAGACCTATACATTTTACATGAGATGATTAGCAAAACAACATCTTGTATACTATTTCCAAGTTCCAACAGATTGAACAGCTTGTTCTATTATATCTGTAGTTATGTTGGATTGAATAATGCTACAACAGTTCAAGGAAACGGGGCTTTGAACCGGATTGAACTAGTCATAATCTAAAGATTATTCCCTATAATGAATAAGCGAAATACAACCCTTACATTGAAAGGATTCTTAAACCTTTCAATGAACTGTAATTTTTAGTGTTTGCTTAATTTAATATGCACTATTCTACTTGTATGCTTACATATGTGCAAAAATTATAGCGACATGCGGGCAAAGCGACTATACATGCAGAAATACAACTTATTTATTCAAGCCGTCTACAGGAATTAGGTCGACCGTTTTAAAACTAATGTTTATTGTACATGGGTTAGTAACATCGATAGTGACTCATTGTCTACGTCAGCATCCCTTAAAAGACTATTGATCTCGCAAAATTCTTATGAGAAATATTATATTCAAGGAAGAAAATTAAACAAATGTTATTTTAGCATTAGAAATGTATTGTTAACAACAAAAGCGTACACATATTGCTGCGGCTACTGTGCATTGAAAAATTTGAGCTTCTCGTTTACTTGTGACGTTGGAGCCGTAGTTGTTGATGCTGGTATTTGCGAAATCATCACTAAACCTTTTATAACCGTCGGTCGGCGAAGACGGGCTTCTCAAAGAAGCCATTTCCGTATACTGATTTTTTTTTTCAATAATGAAATTGACGTCAGATTGACATCGTCAAATTATACTCTTGACATTTTACAATGTCGTTCTAAATATATTGTTCATCACAATCAAATTTAATTTTGATTTCATTGATTAAAATGTCTATAGTTTATTTAATCAAGTAAATAGTTTTAAATGTACATATAAATTGAATCTTATAAAATGTACCATTTTTATTATAAAAACCGGTAAAATATTTAATAAATAGAAATACATCACTGCTCATTTGTTCACATCACATTATCTGTGACAGCTTATGTCAACTTCTTTTTCTTGATCCCGGTTCTAATGTGAGTTGGTGTTGTGTTAGTTTAAAATTAATCCATTCGAATAAGTTTAATACTAGAAGCATAAAACAATTCTATGTATGAAATTTACAATTTATGTTACCAACAAGTGATTCCGTGCTATATTTTCACTTATAATATCCTTAAAACCGTTATTGTTGAGATCGAAAGTTTGACGTTCAAGAAAGTGGACATGAATTTATAGTGCTTACTGAAGTATTTATATGCAATGTGATGAATTATGATATATTATTGTATTGATAAATATATTACGGTCACTTGTTTGTATCGATACAAACTACAATATTCATGTACATAACCTGTAAGTAAGGTCAGATGGTCGGATTGTTTAGAGGTTGTGTTTTGTTATAGTATGGCTCCACCACAGCCCAAGGCGGTGGCCAAGGCCCCTGCAGCCCCAGCGGGCGGTGTTCAGAAGCCAGCTAAGGTTGGCAAACCGAGGAATTATGATTTGGGAAATGGAATCGTCAGATTCTCCAAGACTAAAATGTTCCACAAGAAGGTAAGAAAAATAGATGTTCGCAGATATTAACTACAGAATTCTTATATAATTTATAATTATTATATATAGGTAATGTTGGCTTTGTATTATTTAAAAAAGAAACATTGTAATATGCTCACTTATCATATTAAAATAATTCTATATTTTATAGATACATAATTATCATTGAAATAATAAAAAATGTCTGGAATTATACACTTACCCAAAATAACTATTTCTTTGCAGGCTAAGTACAAGTTCGTTGGTAAGAAACACCCTAAAACGGTTAAACCCAAGAGGCCTTCAACTGTTGTGAAGCCTATTGGAGGAGAGAAGAATGGAGGCACCCGTAAAGTGCTTCTGCGGCGCAGAAGATCGTTCTACCCTACTCAGGACAAGTAAGTTTTATTTTGTTTATTGTTTTCATACAAAAATTTTTGCATTACATTACTGTGTGAACTTTAATATTTATGAGACTGTCATATAATTGTTTGATGGTATTATAACTGTTCTATTGCCAACAAAGCAAATTCTAATTTTATTTATTATAAAATAAAACTAAATCATTAGATGTTATATTATTATGTTGTGAAAATGTTCCTCCTGTGATTTAAAATGTTTTTAATTTATCAATATCATTTGCAGAAAATGTTACCTGATGAAATTTTTAAATTATTTCAATTATAAGCAAATTTATTATACAATCATCAATAAAGCTAGTTTAATTAGAAAATGAACTTAACCATATTTATATATTAATATAATGATATTGTGTTATTCAGGATCCGCAAAATTGCCCACCACAAAACATTCAGCAAGCATGTAAGGAGGACACGTCCTAACCTCACAGTGGGTACTGTGTGTATCCTCCTAGCTGGCAGACACGCTGGCAAGCGAGTTGTGTTAGTTGGAGTACTCCCTAGTGGATTGTTGCTAGTGACTGGACCTTTCGCTGTGAGTTTTTCATATTTTAATTTTGCAGAATAATGTAAATATTTAATTTAAAACCTTTTTAGGGTTTCATACCTAAAGGGTGCCAACAGAAACCTATTGCGAAGCCTCCGCTGTCTGTTCATCTGTCTGTCAGAGAGCTGTATCTCATGAACCATAATAGAAAAATTTTCACAGAGTATGTATTTCTATTGCCGCCATAACAACAAATAATAAAAATGAAAAGAAATACAACAAACATTTATTTTAATGTTTCTAATCAATCATCAAAGTTAGTTTTTATTATGGCACATATTCAAAGTCTAACTGCTATTAACAAACATACAGCACTAAGAATGTATAATGTATATAAATGTCTGTTATTATGTTAGAAATATATTCTAAAATTTAATGTAATGTATATTGTTTTAATCATTATACTTGTACAATTTCCAGTTCAACTCATGCCCCCTCCGCCGTATTCCTCAAAGCTATGTGATTGGCACCAGCACCAAGGTAGATCTCGGTGACTTCAAGCTGCCCGCTCACTTGGATGATGCTTACTTCAAGAAGAACAAGAAGAGCACCAAGCGCAGTGTCAAGCGCAAGCAGGGTGATGATATTTTTGCCTCCAAAAAAGAGGTAAAAGCCTTGTTTTATTTTTCAACACAATGACACTTATGTTGCTAACATGCAAATTTTTTTAAAAAACTTCTTAATTATAATTTATTACTTGTATGTTGGACATGAAAAAAATGAAATTTACAGCATATAATAAATCAACCGTTGCATCTTATTATAATACAGAGTGGAAATGAAGCAAACAGTATTTTTATAACATAGTAATACTAACTAAAAAAATCTGATAAGTTATCTTTTTAAAAAGCTAATTCAATAGGAGTTATATTATAGTTTTGTGTATAAGTAAAACTTCTTTGGAATCGTTGTGATTTGACTCGATGAAACGGAAATGCGACACTAAAAAGATACAAACACAAAAGTATAGGATTAAGCCGGCAAGAGAATGAGATAGAATACGTTGCCACGGTAACCGTTGTTATTGTCTGACAAATGTACGTTTATGTCATATAAAATGTTAAATAACTTTTAAAAATTGGTAAAAATATTATAAAAAAATAAACCTTTTAATTATCCTGTTCCTGATACTCTATATTCATCTCATTCTCTCTTAGGTTACTGTTCTGAAGTCCCACTTCTACCGGGTGTAAATTGCACACACACTCACTTTTTTTCTATATTCAGATGTGCAATTTAAGAGGTTTGCCGTTAAAAATACAAGTTCAAATATTTTAATTTTATCTTTGCAGAAATACGTTCCATCAGAGCAACGCAAGGCTGACCAGAAGGCGGTAGACGAGATCGTAATCAAGGCGATTGGCAAGCGCGGCGACAAAAAGGTGCTCCGCGGCTACCTGAAGGCTGCCTTCGGGCTCCGCTCCAGCCAGTTCGCACACCGACTGGTCTTCTAGTTCGCTAATAAATATTATACATTATAATTTGTTGTTTTATTCTATACTTTCCTACAGATAACATAAGTTTGTTAATTAAAGTATGAACTGAGGGTTACAGTAGAGGATATTGATGATATGATATTGTTCTAAATAGAACCTATATTATTTGTTTTATCATATCAACTATAAGTTTAAAGTTTTTAAAATTAATTATCTTTCACTCATTTCAATAGATTATAATTTAAAATAATATATGGAAAGTTAAGTGCTCAATTAGCATGTTTTAAAATTATTAACAAAAAACTTGAATTGAAAAACAAAAAAGAATTATCCCACGGGAACCATACATTTTTCCGGAATAAAAAGTTGGTACCTATGTGCTATTCCAGAGTACAATCTGTCTATGCTAAAAATCAGATCGGTTCTGGCGTAATTGTGTAACAAACATCCATCCAAACTAGTATTTATAATATGAATAAAGGGATTCTGTATCATATATGATAAGTTTCAATTAAAATAAAACGATTGTTTATAATTTATAAAGAAACATTTATATTTCAATAATGCCTTGTTTATTTGTATTTGATGGGGCGAGAGCGCGCGGAGGGAGCGTTGCGAGTCTTCGCGCCGTGACGTTCACGCCATTCTGCCTCTAAGCGCGCGTACACACCGCCTGGGAAATAAATATGACGACACCTTTTGCTCAGTTGGTAGTGACCCTACTTAATGTTCCAGCTGTCGCGGGTTCGAGTCCCGCTGGGGGCATTAATATGTGTGATGAGCACGGATGTTTGTACTCCAGTCATGGGTGTTTATATTTATAATATGTATGTATTTAAAGTTATATATGTATAGTGTATCAACTACCTGGTATCCATAACATTCATTAACTAATGACTGATTTTTCATTATCACTAAAATTATTAATTTGATTTAAGAATGCACAAGGTATTTTATTTTTCTTTGCCTGCGAGTATTTTTGAAAACCTAAAAATATAATATTCTTTTTATTTATATTTTTAGGTTTTGTTTTTCTTTTATTAACTTTTCTTATTCCTACATACCAAATAGCAATAGCAAAAATTGGCAGCACTAGCTTTGCTTTCACTGATCTTTAGTAGCTAGCATATACGACAGGAGATCCAGTGGTCTGAGGTTCGAGTCCCAGGTCAGGCCAAGTAAATACAGTTATTGAGTTTTTCTGTAAAGAAACTTAGTAATAGCCTGGAAAATTGGCAGTGGTACACCCCCGTGTCACGGATATTACGTAAAGCGAGTCCTGCGTGTGATCTCTTACCGGTCAAATTGTTGTCCCACCGAAATATTTAGCGTGCGCTTATGCCCTATAATATCTCATTGAGATTGACCGCCATGGTCCAAATCGATCAGGGGGTATACACCGGCTTATATCCCCTAGAGCCTGCTCTTACCAGGGTGAGGCCTGTGCCGCGAGGCGTGGTGGTGCCTGCGCGCGAGGGCGGCGCGCATGTGGTGGGCGGCGCGCTCCTCGAAGCGCCTCTGCCCGTCCTGGTTGCTGCGCGCCGACTGCGACGACGCCCACACCCTGCCTTGCACGCGGCCGCGGCGAGCTCTATCCGTGGATTATACATTTATCATATTACAGATTTAATAATATAATGAGTAATATCTCACAGACGAAGTCTTATGCAAATAAAAAAATATATTTTTAATTATGAAAATCCTATAGAAAGGGAAACACTCACTTTTTCCCTAATTTCTCAATTTTCCTAAAAAACTTATTTGGACTGCTACAAACATTAATATGGATATATCACTCGAGTCGTTTTATAGAGATGCGCATATTAAGTAACATATTTTATTCGTATAAATTATTATAAATATTAATTTATTATTTTTGTTTATTCCAAAAATCGATAAATGTAAAATTCAATTACTCCTAGCCAACAGCTATATTAGCAGTGTGTAGATTCCCTGCCAACCTGTAGTAATACTAAGAAAATTTTATCACTGCCTATTTAATATCTTATTTTATTCTATCTACCTAGAAACAAAGCAACAAACACATAAATGGAATACTTACGCGTTCCTAGTAATCGGTGGAGCCGGTGCAAGGGGCGGAGCCCTAGCCCTGCCACGAGAGCGTCTCGGTACGTCCTCTTCACTCTGGCCACTGTCCGAGCTTTGCTCGCTCAAATCGCTAGACGAGACGTCTACAACATCACCCCCTTCTCCACTGCCACCACCTGGCTTTCCATATATTATCATATTAAAGTACATTTTTTTAATTATTTTCTTTTTCAGAAGAAATAATAAAGGCATGTTCTTTCACATTTAATTTAAAAAAAAAATAATCATTGGTTTACTAAAAACTTAGTTTTTCAAAACTTACCATTCATAAAAAATGGTATAACTATTTGGTATTGTAACTATAGGACATCACATGACAAACACCGAACCTAAAAAATATTCTACAAAATTATATACATATATTATTATTATATGAAACAGGACAACGATTCGGACAATATAATTTGCAACTTCACATGAAATAACATAGTATTGTTACTGTGTATTGATCTTACGTATGTCAAAACGTTTTTGACTATCGAGGTTTTGGTGAAATGAAAAGCCTTCTAAAATACATGATAATACTCGTACATTTAAATAGCTAAGACATGTAATCTCAAATCTGCACATATAATACAAATAATCTACACACATACTAAACACAAAAATGTTCTAATAGACAATTTACAACTAAACATAAAATTTGGTCCATCGAGCCGAACTTACCTTTTTCGAATTTTCTTCCTTTATAGGCAGTTTCGGTTTGATTTCGCGTCGCTCCGGCGAAGCACATATACCAGCTGAGCAATTCCCAGCCAGAGACTGCACGGATGTACGAGGTGCACTCAAAACGGGCGAGCCAGGACGCGCGTTCGCTGTGCATGTGTCGATTTTGATGGGATTTGTGTTATTTTAACGTGATTTTGTGTAGAGGCAACTTGCATTCTACATACAGTATGTTATTATGGATCTAAATGAAAAACCGCTGAGATACTTACTATAATCTCCATTTCACCAATTGAGTGGTTTCACAAGCCGACTTGGTAGTAAAATTTCAAAGTTATTTTCCACAGATACTCTTGTATAAAAAAGAATTTGTGGGGCAAATTTTTTCATTTAATTTTGAAATCAAGTCTTTTATTATTCTGATGGTAGTTTAGTAGAAACAAATTATCTTGAGGTAAAATATACATTATAAGATGAATTCATATAAACTAGATATAATATTTTTAATAAAGAAAATGCAGAATATCGTGAAAAAAACCCTGAAAATAATTTTGACAAAGCAACGTTGTAATGAAACTACGATGTTGCCAATGTGAAGAGCGTATATACAGCGGTCTTCTATTCGCTGGGATTCTTACGCTATAGTGCTATTATTTGCTTACACCATAATATTTAAGAATAAATAAACTATGTTTACAGACGAAGCTACCAAAAACGTTAAAACGCTTTTGATTTGTTTTTATTCTTTGAATTTCTCTCATATTTTTTGTTAAATTCATTTTTATGATGTCAATATTAACCGCTTCCCTGTCCCATGAGTTATATATGAACATTTCGATTGTTTAACTATTGTGTCTATTTTGCGTACAGTTAATCTGTTAATTTATTAAATAGCTGTGTTGAAGTTATCTGTTATTATTAAACAATGGTTCTAAATTAAAAAAATAAGCAAATCATGACACCAAACTGAAACAATTATATCAACTAAGCCTCACGGTTGAATTTAGTGTTGCTAGTGTAGAGCTTGCCGAGCAGGCCGAGGGTCTGTCGAGGCGGAACCAGTTGGATGCCCTCCCACCAGAACACCTCCTTGCATTGGAGACGACCGTTAGCGTCCTCACCACCCTCTGCAACATCGTCTGCAACATTTTGAGTTTAAGATTCAAAGTCAAAAATTTCCCTCGTTATAGTCTGTGTATACATATATCTAGCTTAGTTAGTGTATAATTAATAAAAAAAAGTGTAAAATTATCTATAGAAAATAATTATGTGTTCGGTGAGTAGTACCTACTTTAAGCTGCTTTTGTTAGTTCCAAAAATAGCCACTGGGTATAAATTCTTTTTATTTTTCAATAAACAAACATGAAGAGCCTAAATATAAGTTCGTAATGCAAAAAAGTACGGTTAATATTTTAAATTTTACCTCTAGGCACAAGTCGAGTAAGTCTCTCTGGGAACATTAACTGTGGCGGCCTCATGGCTATTATGTCTCTGAAATTGTTGTATATCTCCATCACAGCCGCGTCCGCCGCCAGGCCCTCATCGGGAACGTGTTCGCGAAACTGGCAACCCTGTAACGGTGATAAAAAATGGATTTTCAAGTTCCAAAACATTTTTATATAAAAAATGAAATACATAATTTTTTCAGTCATAACCATAATCATTTCATTTTTTACTTTCTGCTGCAGGGCATAAGTTTCTCCTTAAGGTGCTCAGTAATCATTAAATATACTGACAAACTGCGGGCTCGCGGTCTTTAAGCCGCATCCTTGAAAACTAGTTAAATTCTCTCAGAAATGCTTGACTTGTGAGGATCTACAATGATAAATAAAATAAATATTATCTTTCCACTACTCACGGTATTCCTGGCGACGGTCTCGAAGCGGTAGGCGCGCTCGCCGCAGCACGCGTGGCGGCCGGCGGCCAGCGGCGCGCGGCCCTCTAGCGCGAACATGTGCGGGCCCTGCTCGTGGTGCGAACACCACTCCATCTGACGGAATACATCGTTTGTTCTCTACCCTACTTTATTCAATATTTGTCTTATTTGTAAATTATTTTACCTCATATGTATTTTAGCACGGTAGGATTTTTTGAAGTCAAAACTCAAAGCATTGTAGGTCATCTCATGGCAAGTTACTATTATACCCATTAACCCTAAAGTTGTTTTCCAACTGAGGTATGAACTTATCTACGACAATCAGTATCGCGTCTCTGTCTACGCGCCCCGCACTATTACCCTGTATAGATGCCCTCGTTAAATAATTATATGGATTACTAGACTGTGGTAGTAAGCTAGCACCTGATAGGCGGGGAAGTATGAGTTGCAGAGCTGGCAGCGCAGGAAGTGGCAGTCGGCCCACAGGCGCCAGTACACGCGGCGCCACGCGCGCAACTCGCCGTACAGCCACGCTATATACTCGTTCAGACTCCACGACACGTCCCTTTATTAGCATAGAAAGCTTTTATTCGCTTTTCTTGGTGTTGTTTGTTAAAAATGTAAGATTTGATTAAATATAATTTAAGAAGTCGATTTTAAACTATTAAGTGTCGTATCGACTTAAAACTTTGCAAGTTTATGAAATCTGGAGCTGAAGCTGATCTAATGATAAAGCCTTGGCAACATCCACATCAATTGAATAGTTTAATTTCTGAATGACTACCAGTTTCAATGGCTACCTTCGAATTTAGGGTCATTTTTTATTTCATAAGTTCCATATATATACATCACAGTTGGTCAAAAGCATATTTTTGGTTAAATCTGTAAATAATTATTTTATTAAAAATCTATTTTATGATTTCTAAAACGCCTGATTACCGAAGAACCTTTACAAAATGTTGTCCGTCTATGTGTCTGTTTATGTACGCTAATCTGCGGAGAAGCTTAAATTATATACATAAAAGATTTCAATGCAAATGGCATAAGTTACTTTCTATGCCGAAAAAGAAGAACGAGTCTCAAGGGGAAAGGTATAGAAGGAGATCATTTTTTATGAGACTTTCACTCAGTCATAGATTCGTTTAAATATTAAAGGTGACACATCAATCATTTTGTAATGACAATGAATTAAGAAAGTTTGCCAGGATATAGAAAATAGACATTTTTAGAAAGGCACGAAATATAGATAGGGAAAAACAGATCGCTTGTACCAGATAAGTAATATTTCAAAAGTTGTATTCATAAACTTATGTACTTAGTATGATTGGAAATAACATTGCCGCGTCGGTCGATGCGCATGCAGGCGGGCTGGCACGGCACTTGCTCTGCTATGTGACGTCCTAGGAGTTTATTACACCTATAAACATAAAGCATTTGACATTTTTTTATTTTACTAGGTTCATAATAATATAATTAAGTAGTTGCCCATTAATTCAAAATATACTTTATTTCGAAAACACTTAAACAAATATGTATCTTTCAAATTTAAATTAATGTAGAGTATATGTGAGATGAGGTGTTAAAGAGTGCGCGCAAACTATCCAGCAACGCTAAATTGCACTGTGGCAACACTGCTGCACTGTGGGTCATAGTAAGTTAAACTCTCACTTCCCTGCCGTTGACGACCAGCAGGGACTTCATAATGAATTTCGCCAGCGACAATAAAAAAGAATGGGCACCTTGACATTGTAAGTTTCATTTTAACTTAAGAGGTTTTTTTTTCAGCTTATCGCTGTCCGCTGGACTGGGCTGAATGAAACCCTCTCCTATAGAATGCCAACTATCCCGATTTTTGCCAACCCGCATCCATCCCTTACATTCCATCTTTGTCAGTTGCGTTCTTGCAATTTATATGGTAGCATACAAGACATTTCACCTTAAATAAAAGAACTATTTCTTGAAGTTAGCCTTAAGAAAAGTATCATTAAAATAGCTTAATAAAGATGTCGTTTTATATACATACGAGTATATGTACATTTTGATACAAAGCAGTCAATACATTACTTGCTGCATTTAAAGAGCGTGGCGAGCGTGGCGTGGTGGCCGCGCAATGTCTCCGGCACCGGCTCCGCCAGCGAGAGGATCATCTTGCAGTAGAGACGTGATAGTATCTTGTCCTTGCGGTCACGAATAGCTTCTAGTTCCGTATTTGTATACATTGCTGCCAATCTGTGGAATTCGAGTGTTTTTATTATTTATTTCATACTAGTTATTTATCTTGCCAACGCCCGGTTGCGTTCCTAGATATCTCTTACGGCTTGTTACAAAAACATCGGCTAATCTCTATATTTTTTGCCAATATTTACTAACGGTAGCCAGTGCGTTACTACAAGTCATACGCGTACAAACTTTCACTGTATTATGATATATAAAATGTATGTGTATAATAATAAAATATCAATATTTGTTGAAAATTGAAGTACATATTTAAATTAATTATAAAATGTAAAAAAAATATTAAATAAAATATGAAACACAGTTATGCTACGTCGTCAACGATTGTAGTAGTAGATACTAGTATGTATTATTAGTATAATATCGCATTATTTCAAACAGATTAACGTAATTTGTCCAGTAAGAGTCCAATAAAAATATCAAATGTTAAAGAAATAGAACGTCCCTAATAAGGGCAATTTTGTCTTCTTAAATATACTTACAATAGATGGCGTTGATCAACAAACTGTTGAACTATTTTACTTTTATAAGTATATACCTATTTTCTAAAATTTGTAAGATAATCAAAATTCATTTTACAATTTATAAAATAAATTTTAGTGATATCAACCGTTTCTCATGTGAGAGATTTAAGACGCAGTATTTCATTTCCCTTTACTTAAGTCTCAGATTTTTCGAACCAAAACAGTGTCTAACTAATACTTTTTTGGTGTCTATAAAATATTTTTCTTTTAATAATTTTACACAAACGTACGTTATTAGTACGTTATTTTTTTCTTGTTACAGATGTTGTTGTTATGATGTAAATAGTATATTCCCAAAAGGTTTTCAGTAAATTAAAAATGACCCTGTATACATATTATATATTTTACATTAACAAATCGATACGTATAATGCCATGAAGTGACATTTATTCGAACTATTTTTTTAAATAATAATACCCGATTAATAATTTAATTTTTATTTATTCTATGTAAGACCCATCATGCTTCGGTGAGATTCGGTCATGCTGCGATGCGGTAATGCATCGCATCGCAGTAATATCTATTTCGTATAGGTACTTATTGCTATTCGGTCATTTAAAAAAAAAGGTGTAAAGAAAGTTATATGTGTAGGTGACTTATATTATAATTTATTTAATTTATCATATTTATATATTAACTTTCCAAAACATAATATTTATAATTTATTTAATATTTAATTTACGTATTAATATCATATAAACATACACCTACATTCATACAATACAAATATTTAATTATTTATATTTATAAATTAATATTTATTCATATTTATTTTTATTCACAAGCATAGCCGCGCGAAACCCGTAGTATACGGCGGAACGGAATTTATTTGTCTCCTACCGGCCAATAATGATTTTTCTAACATACGACAGTCGACGCCTTACCAGCTGATGCTACTTACTAGTTTTACATTATTTAATCGTTTTCGTTAGTTTTTGTATGTGGACTTCTTGTGTTTGTACCTCTAACGTGTGTATTACTGTGTATCTTCCTAAACTTCTCCTTCTGAACTATTTTTACGTGTGTGTTGACTTTTACAATATATTATTTTATCAAGTGACGATATTTAGACTTTCATTCGTGTTTTCTCTCGTCACGACCAACAATAACCACCAAACTGGTGACCCCGCACAGAACACCAGGGAAAATAATGTTCATGCACTCAGCAAGTCAGGGATCGAGCGGATCGGAGGCGAAAAAATCGCAGAGTCATATTACTTTGTGTCAACGTCGACCGCGCGCCAAGATGGCGACGCCCATTAAATGTGCTTCACCGCCGCAGATACCTCCCCAGATAAGGATACCACCGTTTTGGCCTGAAAAACCAGCGATATGGTTCGCGCAGGTTGAAGGACAATTTGCAATTATGCGTGTAACCGATGACACGACAAAATTTGACCACATCTTAGCTACACTCGACAGACAGTACGCTGCCGAGGTTGAGGACATTCTCACCGGACCCCCAGACTACCAACGATTAAAGGACGAGCTTATCAGGCGACTATCAGCATCCCGTGACAATAAGGTTAAGCAGCTGTTGATGCACGAGCAACTCGACACTCGTAAACCATCACAGTTCCTGCGCCACCTACAACACCTTGCTGGACCCGAGGTACCCGAGGATTTCGTGAGAACCATTTGGACCAGCCGACTGCCTACTTCCATGCAGTCAATTCTTGCATCGCAGGCGACGCTACCCCTGGACGCACTCGCCGACCTAGCCGACCGTGTCCACGACATCGCGGCGCCGACGTACCACGTCGAAGCGGCCGCGACAACGGCATCAGCAGCAGTGTCACCTATTGATCAGCTGGCACGTCAGGTATCAGAGCTGACAAAGCAGGTGAGTGCTTTGACTAAGCAGTCCCAACGCCGTTCGCGACCGACTGAACATCGCAAAGATGAAAGACGACGCGGGCGATCAACATCCCGTATAGCCCGAAAACGCTCAGAACAGTTGGTAATGACGACCAACAACTGTAACAGTTCCAGTACGGGTCGTCTATTCATTAAGGACCGCAGCACCGATATACCATATTTAATAGACACTGGTAGTGATATTTGTGTGTACCCACTTTCCGCGCTTTGTGAGCGCAGGTGTAAAACCTCATATCAGCTTAGTGCTGCCAATGGTTCTGCTATTGATACGTACGGCTATATACAGCTCAATCTTAATTTAGGCTTACGTCGGAACTTTCCGTGGCAATTTGTCGTAGCTGACGTCACAAAAGCTATTATAGGTGTAGATTTTCTATCGCATTATCGCCTCATCGTCGACGTCAGCCAACAAAAACTCATCGATAGCCTAACTAATGTCAGCACTGTAGCATGTTTAGACGTAAGCAATAATGTATCTAGTGTTAAGGTAACAACGGGTGGTGATAGTGTTTATCATAAAATTTTAGCCGAATTTCCGGAAATAACACGCCCTGCTGGTACTCCGGGAATCGCAAAGCATCACACTACACACCACATACGCACTACACCAGGTCCACCTGTATCATGCACCCCTAGACGCCTCGCCCCCGACAAATTAAAAATTGCAAAGGACGAATTCGATGTCATGTTAGCGAATGGGACCGCACGTCCGTCTGACAGTCCGTGGGCATCACCTCTCCACCTCGTCTCCAAAAAAGATAACGGCTGGCGCCCTTGCGGCGATTATCGCCAACTTAACGCACGAACAATACCCGACCAGTACCCAATTCGTCATATTCACGATTTTTCGCATAATTTGTCTGGTTGTACGGTATTCTCAGTCATAGATTTGGTTAAGGCCTACAACCAAATTCCTGTCGCAGAGGATGATATTCCCAAGACCGCCATTACCACACCTTTCGGTCTATACGAATTTCCCTTTATGACATTTGGACTTAGGAACGCCGGTCAAACTTTTCAGAGATTTGTAGACGAGTTAACTCGCGGACTCGATTTTTGTTACCCGTACCTAGACGATTTTTTAATATTTAGTAAAACTGCACGCGAACACGAAGACCACTTACGTCAAATTTTCGAGCGTATGCGCAATTATGGCGTACTTGTCAACACCGCCAAATGTGTTTTCGGCGCGTCTGAAGTAACGTTTCTAGGGTATCAAATCTCTGAAAAGGGCACTAAACCTCTGGACAGCAAGGTACAGGCCATATCACAGTTCCCACCTCCAAAAACCGTCCGAGAACTCCGACGATTTTTGGGGATGGTGAATTTTTACAGGCGATTTTTGCCTAACGCCGCTCAAATTCAAGCGCCATTAAATGCCTTGCTGACCGGATCGGTCAAAGCTTCCCATCCAGTCGTCATAGAGGGGGATTCACTGCGTGCATTTGAGGCTTGCAAGAAGAGTCTTTGTGATGCTGCGCTCTTAGCCCATCCAGACTCACAGGCTAAGCTAGGACTGGTCACTGACGCCTCTGATACGGCGATAGGTGCAGTCTTGCAGCAGCTGAAGGATGGAGCCTGGCAGCCGTTAGCATTTTTCTCTCGCAAGTTGAGCCCATCGCAGGTGAAATATTCTCCGTACGACAGAGAGCTCCTTGCTATTTATGAGAGCATAAAATACTTTCGGCACATGCTAGAAGCCACTCACTTCACAGTCTATACTGACCATAAGCCAATATGTTATGCTTTCCATGAACGGAAAAGTAACTGTTCGCCACGTCAGTATAGACACCTCGACTTCATCTCGCAGTTCACCACCGACATCGTCCATATTGCCGGCAAAGACAACTTGGTCGCCGACACTTTGTCGCGCGTTGATGAACTGCAGGTGCCAGTCGACCTTGAAGTGATGGCCAAGCTCCAAGCCACAGATCGAGAGCTGGCAGAACATCTCAAAGGCGATTCTTCTCTTCGCCTCACTAGAACGACCATACCTGGGAGTCGTACTGTCTTGTACTGCGACGTCAGTACACCGACACCCAGACCTTTCGTTCCCCAACAACTGCGTCAGCAGGTATTTAACTGTCTTCACTCACTCAGCCATCCTGGCGCCAATGCCACAGCCAAACTCGTTTCCCAACGCTTCGTCTGGCCACTGATGCGGAAAAACTGTCGTGAATGGGCTAAGGCGTGTTTGTCTTGCCAGCGCTCGAAGGTAACTAGACACGTTGCCTCACCTTTAGGTACGCACGATTTACCTTCAGCGCGTTTCAAACACGTCCATATAGACCTGATCGGCCCGCTACCGCCTGATGGTGATTATCGGTATTGTCTCACAGCCGTCGATCGCTTTACGCGATGGCCGGAAGCTGTGCCGATTACCGACATCACCGCCGAGACAGTGGCCAAAGCGTTCATTTCCTGTTGGGTGGCCCGATATGGTTGTCCTACCGAGATCGTAACCGATCGAGGCAGGCAATTCCAGTCGGCCTTATTTCAACAGCTGTCCAAATCCATCGGTTTCGATCACCGTAGGACGACAGCTTACCACCCACAGTGCAACGGTTTGGTTGAGCGATTCCACAGGCAGTTGAAGGCAGCAATTACCTGTCACGCTGACGCGAACTGGACCGAGTCACTACCACTCGTGCTTCTCGGCATCAGGAGTGCCTTCAAAGAAGACCTCCAGGCTTCATCGGCTGAGTTGGTGTATGGTGAGCCACTGCGCCTACCTGGCGAATTTTTAGGCCACGACATCGCTCAAAATACCACTGACATCACCGATTTCTCAGCTCGTATGAAGTCATTTGCCGACAGCATACGTCCAGTTCCACCTCAGCACCACTCAAAATCTCGCAGAGCCTTCGTTTTTAAAGACTTAGCCCACTGTAGTCACGTATTCCTCAGAGATGAAGTGCTACGTGGCTCATTTCAGCCCGCTTACACTGGGCCATACGAAGTGCTCAAGAGAGGTGCGAAAACCTTTACCATACGTGTGGGAAATAAAGACGAGACAGTATCCATAGACCGTCTGAAACCGGCCTATATACTGTCCTCGGAAGCATCCTCATCCCGACAGGACAATATTTCTCCTGTTAAGGAATGTCCCATAAAAACGACACGTTCGGGACGCAGAGTACACTTCCCTGATTTTTATCGTCCGTAGACACGGCCTCTGGAGGGGAGTGATGTAGGTGACTTATATTATAATTTATTTAATTTATCATATTTATATATTAACTTTCCAAAACATAATATTTATAATTTATTTAATATTTAATTTACGTATTAATATCATATAAACATACACCTACATTCATACAATACAAATATTTAATTATTTATATTTATAAATTAATATTTATTCATATTTATTTTTATTCACAAGCATAGCCGCGCGAAACCCGTAGTATACGGCGGAACGGAATTTATTTGTCTCCTACCGGCCAATAATGATTTTTCTAACATACGACAGTCGACGTCTTACCAGCTGATGCTACTTACTAGTTTTACATTATTTAATCGTTTTCGTTAGTTTTTGTATGTGGACTTCTTGTGTTTGTACCTCTAACGTGTGTATTACTGTGTATCTTCCTAAACTTCTCCTTCTGAACTATTTTTACGTGTGTGTTGACTTTTACAATATATTATTTTATCAAGTGACGATATTTAGACTTTCATTCGTGTTTTCTCTCGTCACGACCAACAACAACCACCAAATATGTATTATAGTTATTAATATTATAGTTATAGTCCGGTCAAATTAGCTCCATAAATAGGGGTAAAGCTATATTAATTCGCACCCAGCTAAAAATTGGCATGAATATTGGGGGCCCTAGTACACACAATTTGTCAATTATCCACATCAATCCAACGTGTGCAAAAAAAATTAATCAAGGTCAAACGTTGCAAAAATCGGTTTTTTGAGCTTTCCAGCTAAACGGTAAGTTTTATTATGAAAATAGGTGAGACAAAAATTATTCATCATGCAATTATCTGTAAAAATTGGTTATACACTTTTTTTCCTAAGAATCACCATTTCGGAGATATAGCGATGCAAAATGTTGAAAAAGTTGTGTTACTCATAATATGTATGTCAATTATCGTTTTAAACGTTACAGAACGTTAATATAAGTAAAAATATTAGTTTTCGTGGCGTATACATACATACTATACAATAATTGTAAGAATATGAACTCGAAAAAGAACCCAGTCCCTCATTTTATATGACTGTACGGCCTTGAGCAACATCTGTCTGCTATTCAATTGTCCGCGTGGCGACGATCGTATACCTGCTCCTTTTTCAAGGGCCTAACTAGATAGAATAGTATTAGTCTCAAGCATTCCTTCGTAGTAAGAGCACGTAGTTATTGCTTATATTTTCGAAGAAAATTGTGCAGTTTTGTGTTTGTAATAGAAATGTCGCAATTTTGCTTCATTTGTAACAAACATTTGGCCGAAAGCGAAACAGTTACTGTTGATCGTGGCCTAAAGACGTTAATTGATGCAAGTATTGAAAGAGGTGATGAATTTTGATATATTGGAACCAGTTAAGACTTTACTCCCTCCTGCACCGGAAAAACTCCTCAATTCAATTTTTTGCAATTGCAAAACGGGGTGTAATGCTAAATGCGGCTGTAAAAAAGTTGGGTTGTTTTGTTTATTAGCATGTATCAGTTGTCGAGGCCAATCGTGCTCCAATGTTCAATCACCAGTAGAAGAGGATTCTTACGATATATGCGAAAAGACATCTGATGCATCGCTCTTTGAACAATTTATTTGTACCCAGCAGGAAGAAGAAGAAGAACAAGACAGTATGGATTATGTTCCATTAGAAGAGTATCAATCAGACAAATAATTTTCTACAATTTAATACAATAGCTTTTAACTCAACAGAACCACAATAGATCGTGGAGTAGGCCTACTGGGGAAACCACGTGAAAAAAAACACGCCATGTACACTACCTCTCGGGTGGCGCGGAAACGTGTGCATATTATGAGTAACACAACTTTTTCAATATTTTGCATCGCTATATCTCCGAAATGGTGATTCTTAGGAAAAAAAGTGTATAATCAATTTTTACAGATAATTGCATGATGAATAATTTTTGTCTCACCTATTTTCATAATAAAACTTACCGTTTAGCTGGAAAACTCAAAAAACCGATTTTTGCAACGTTTGACCTTGATTAAATTTTTTTGCACACGTTGGATTGATGTGGATAATTGACAAATTGTGTGTACTAGGGCCCCCAACATTCATGCCAATTTTTAGCTGGGTGCGAATTAATGTAACCTTGAATGTCTATTTTGACCGGACTATTAGGTTAAGTAATGTTTTGCCGTATTCATGAAAGATTTTGACCTTGTTAAAAGTGCATCACTGAGGCATGCCAAGTTGGTTGAAGTCTTCACAATATCGTTCATGTGCGCGTGGCAGTAGATCAAGCAGTCGTGAAGGAGAGGCTCCATCTGTTGGTAATCATTACTAACCTCTTATGAACTATACATAGTATATAATAAATATATTTTAACTGGAAATAAACAAACATTAATACTTATAATTAAGTAATGATATTTTCTGTATATAAATACTGTACCTGAGAGTAAAGTAAATGTTAAAAAAAGCTTCTTATTTAATAATAAATTAACAATATCTGTTACAGAACTGTACGAAGAACTTACTTGTAAAAAAGAGGCAGACACGAGGATAGGTATGACATTATGAGGATCCAGAAGAGGCCAATCGGCCACTAGGATAGTGTCACGCTTGACCCAACGCATTAGCCAATCAAAAATCTAAAAAAGAAATTTAAAAAACAACATCCTTACAAATTATTCATTAGTCATTAGCTTTCTTAGTAACTAATATATAATAATTATTATTTTTTTGTTATTACTAGAAAGATTAGATTTCTAAATTTTTCTATTAAAAATTATAAGAAATTTTTTATCAATAAAAATACACAAGCAAACCAAAAGTATTAGGTTAGTCTATATTATTTTTAATCTATATAAGTATAATAATATTATAACCTGAATATCACAATGTACAGATATATCCATATCCTCCAGTCTCTGTCCGGCGGTCACATCGGCAAAGTATCCCATCTTAGACACCAGTAACTTTTGAGGACATCTAAAATCTTTTTTCAAGCCTTTGACTTCATCACAAACGTGAATTTCTACGTCACCACTAAAACAAATATAAAAAAAAGTTTTCCGATGCCGGGAATCGAACCCGAGCCTCCTGGGTGAGAGCCAGGTATCCTAGCCACTAGACCATATCGGATGTGAGATTTTAAACGAAATTATAATTTACAAATTACTCACATAATATTTTTTAAATATTTTTGATCGACATTAAAGAGGGAAGGATAATATTCTCAACTGTTTATAAATAACTTTTATAAAATAATAGTTTGTGTGTTTATTTAGAAAAAAGAATCAAAACTTAAAGATTAGAGCATTAGCTGTAGATTAGGTAAGCAAATTATTTTCATATATAAAATTTTCTTTTTATCAGAAATGCTTTTGTATTTTTAGTTTTATTAAATAAGCGAAATAATTTTACTCTTGTTTTTGGTTTCCACGTTCTTGTGCTGCAACCACGGAGGACTTGCGCCGTCCCAAGCGATCTCTCGATTCCTTTTCATTTATAAAACCTTAAAAAAAATATACATGAAAATATTCTTCTTTTGATGGTATACTTATTATTAAACAATATGAATTATACATATACATTCCAATATGAATTGTATTTTATAATAATATGTATCATTAGAAGAAAACGACTAGCGGCATACCTCCAAAACTAGCGGGCTTCTTTACATCTGTTGATGTGGTTGAAGGAGTTTTTTTTATTATTGGCCCATAAACACTTGTAGTTTTTGAGGGCTTCTTATATCCCACCAGATAAGGTAGAATGGAATCCAATATTCCTTCATTTATTACCTGAAATATTTGTACAATTGGTGATCAGCGCCATCTATCGTGGTTATAGTAGATACCTAAGAAAAAGGGCTGCGAATGAAATTCAGTATAAATACTTAAAATATAATAAATATTTATTCGTACGTCGTTTAACTTGCAATTCAAATTAGCTTCGGTCCAAACTCCTAGCATTTCTACTCTTGCTTCGGGTGGTAATGAACGTCTGCGACCTTTGCCTATAATAATAAAAAGCCATAATTTAAAGTTTGACACGGCTTGTCCTATTCCAATCGAGGAGCGTCGGAACTAAAACCGATCAATCATAAATATGACACAAATGTGTTTTCGTGGAAAAATGTAAAAATATGGCCAAGTTCATGGTTTTCTAATTTAGAGTTAAGCGAAATCTATAATTTTGATGGTGTTAGCATCACTACTAGTTTGGAAACCTAAATTCTGCATTTGTGACTGGGGTACCTGTTAAGTTATAAAAAAAAAGAAAATTGATTTAAAGGTTAAATTGATATATTATAGGCAAACCAACTGGATTGGATTGGACTGAACTGGATTTGATAAAACACTATAGAATATAATATTTAAATCGGTTTTTGACAGAATCAAAAGAGTCAACAATGAAATAATAGGGATGTATCGGTATTTGTTCCGATCGCCATTGTTGTTTAGTACGATGGGTGTAATTATCTGTTTATGTTCAGATCCTTACAGATTTAAAGCGGATTTATCAGTTTTCGACCAGGTTACATTAACCATAGAGCAAGATATGTACGATAACAACCAATCGGCATCATAAAAAAATGACAAAATGTGATTTATCGGTTTTTGTTATGACGCTCCTCAATTAAACAATGAAAAATACTACACCAATAATGAACAATATTAAATTATTTAATTAGGTACTTACTTTCAATCTCACTGCAGCTATATCTCTTCTCAGTACGTTCTGTTTCGCTATTTCTTCTCTCAATTGCTGTGTCACTTTTGCTAGTTATAGGTTTTTGATCGGAATACGCAGTTTGATACAAGAGATCTCTTTCTTGTTGGTCAATGACATGGTTAATAACCGTTAACTTCGTTAATTCCTCCCAATTAATTTTAGAACCCTCATCTTCATCGCCCTCTAAGTGTTCATAGACTTGATAAGCGGTTTTCATAAAATCAAAGAAATCTTTAACAGTGATTACTTCTGCAGGTATATTCTTTACGATAGAATTTCTTCTGGATGATGGTTCAGATTTTGTCGGACTTTTGGTCTTTTTACTATCTCCCCTTTGCATAAACATAGAAGACGAATCTGTTTCAGGATTTGGACTAGCCATTTTATTTAGAAAATAAGTTAATGCAGTAAATCTATTGGATATGAATTTTCTTTTAAATTAGTATTGATTACACAAGCCACCTGGAAACATAAGGCATATACGAAAGAAAGCAGGTAGAAACTCAAAATTTCTATATTTTTTTCTAATTTTTTCAGTAGATATAGCTTTTCCTTATATATATATTGAGAATAAAAAAATGTAATTTAATTTAAAAAACAATAATATAACTTCAACAATATGTATTGTATAAACAAAAACTTAACAGGTATATTTTACTGTAATGATAAGGTTGTCATAATTATATTAGTCATTTAATTATTTATTTTTATTTTTTTTATTAACAAATAGGTTTATAGCATAATAAAAATATTCATAATATCATTCTCTTTGCTTAGTGTTTACATTTTTACCAGAATTCATTACATAATCTACGTTGCACCCGTGTACGGTGTAAGGAAAACATTGTCTATGACCTAGTGATATGTCATATCAATATTTTCGTAATATTTTGTTGTTCAGTAAAGTTATTTAGAATGTCTTTGAATCTATTTTATTATGGAAAGCTACCAAGCCGAATATGACAAGAACGGATTGGTGGCTGACACGTTCTGGAGGACTCCGCAGCGAGCTGTCCCGGGGAGACCGTGTCAGAGGGTCGAGCGAGTCGAGGTTATGTCTGGTTCATCGTATCAGCAGTTCCAGGCGTCAGTGAACGATGCCTGGGACCTGGGCGATGACGACGTTATGTCCGGCATCGCCGAGACGAAAATATCGAAAGCCATATCGCAGACTGCAGCTTTAAATGTTATTAATTCTCATCGGAATAGTACTAAGAACGTAAACAAAAGTGACGTCAAAGATAGTGATAATGTTAAGCCGAGGGAGGAGGCTGTAGCAGTAAGAAAGAATGAAGTGCGAAAAATTGGCACTGCCCCTAGTAGTTCAGGGCCGATGCGCCATTACCCGGGGCGGCCACGTCCAGTAAGGTTGTCCGCTCTTACGTCCCGGGAAGAGAGCAGTGAATCAAAGCTGGAAAGGTTTCAACAGGTCTTAGAAAGTTCTGTGCTGGACCTTGATGAATTGAAGCAACTTAGTTGGTCAGGAATTCCAACAAAGGTTAGTGATTTCCATTAACAGTTATTAAATGTTTGTGATGAGTCACTCTTTAACTGTCTACATTAATAATGAAATCAATGAACTGTGTCTATACTCAAATGTGTGCTCTATGTCTGTTCGATTTAACTTTTGAAAATGGTGTAGTTTGTTACAATTTTTTAGATTGTTTTAATGTTAGGTCTAAGTTCACTTATTTACCTACTAAATTAATTATATGTTTATATTTATTGTTTGAAATATTATTTAAGCTTATTGTTATTGAATTGATATATTATTTGATATGGATATAATTATTATGAATAATATATTTTATTAATAATTGAATACAGAAATAATAGAATAAAATCCTTCATGGGTTTTATTTTCAATTTTACATAAAGTAAAATGTAGTAAATATTCAATTGTCAAGTACAAGAAAACCTTGAGTTGACCACAGTCACCACATACAATGTGGTGCAGGCTATTATATTACTTATGTCATTTAATATAGAGTATGTATTTGTAATTTAAAAGTTTCATTTCAACTAAGAGGAAACAATTTAATTCATGTTTTTTATTACTTGGAAGCTAAGTAGAAGCTTCTCGTAATTAACAACCTGTATATAAAAAGCGTTATGACAAATTGATATTAATAATTAATATTAACTGTTTATTTATGTATGTAATTTTTTACATTACTTTAAGTTGTAAGTATTATTTTGGTTTTAATATATTTTATAATACAGTATTAACATTTATTGCAAACTTTTAATTAAAGTATTCTTTAAAATCCATAAAGAATTGCAAAATTATAATTTTAATTTTTTATTGTATATTTATATACAATTTATAAATTATATGGTTTTTTATTTGTGGTGAGAGTGTGGTAACACCACATTTATACTTTATATTTTTCTATCACCTGTAAATAAGAAAATACCTATTACCAAAATACTAATCCTTCAATTTTATGAAGTACATACATACATGAATGATATAAATTAAACATAATGTCATCTTCAAACAAAAGTCTTCACCGTTGTGTTATATAAGGTTAATAGAAAAAATAAAAGTATACAAAATAGATATATATATTTTTTCATTTTTTTCATTTGCAATCAGCCTAATGGCATTAATCTGGCTTTTAATTTATATATAGCATGTTTGAGATTTTGCATGTCTCTATTAATGAAATAAACTTTATTCAATTAGACTTATTATAAGCACTTGAATATGTATATTGTGGCTAGTCGAGTTCTTTTCAAGTACACCAGATATGTTAAAGAAGGAAGCTAAAGTGATAGAGACTATGATATATGAAAGATAGAGGTGCTTGTTTTACAGTGTATATATATATATATATATATTTAAAAAAAATTGCAGGTCAGAGCAGTAACATGGCGGCTGTTAGCCGGGTATCTACCAGCAAATGCCGAACGTCGAGCCGAAACCCTAGAAAGAAAAAGAGCTGACTATAAACATTTAGTACGACAGTACTATGATGCAGAGAGAGAGGAGGACACATATAGGCAGATACATATCGATATTCCAAGAATGAGCCCGCTTGTGGCACTTTTCCAACAAATTACTGTACAGGTAAGTAAGAATAGTTTTATTTTTAAGCTTGCAACATTTACTTAAATAGAAGAAACTAATTTCTTTCTTTCTTTAGCTTCCTTTGGTGGTATACAAATATTGACCTCATATATAAATTAAACGATAACCTTGTATAATTGGTACAATCTATATAGATAAATAAAATTGAAGCGTTTGTTTGTTATGTCAAAATAACAACATTTTACTAAATGCATATGAAATTATATATGCTATTTATATAAAAAAACACAGCTTTTAAAATTTTTGTCTGTCTGTCTGTTTGTTCCGGCTAATCGCCGAATCGGTTGGACTGATTTTGACGGGACTTTCATGGGCAATAGCTGATGCTATAAGGAGTAACTTAGACTACTTTTATTTTTAAAAAATAATTATGATTCCGGTTAAAAAATAATAATACGTATCTAGAGACCCAAACGAAGCGAGGGTTAGTCGCTAGTTATATAATAAAAACAACTCAAAATACTCAATAATATCCTGTATAAGTTATTATTAAATTTAATACCACGACACCAATACACATATCCTTGGACTAAAAATTTAAACATGTTAGATAATGTTAATTAAATTATCTCACACTTAACATTATTATCAAGATAAATTAGTGTGGGATGACAAACTTTAACTAAATATGTGGATTAAACTGGTTGTGTCATTGCATTCTAAGAGCATTTTCAGACAATTTTAAGATAATCATCAGATAAATGATAATTTGTAGGTCAGAGAAACCCCATTGGGCGATATGGTATATTAGTGCTGTGTAATGTTACTTATTGTTAGAGTTGTATCTCAGTACATGCCTGACTAATATTAATTAATTAAAAAACATATTTATTGTAATCCTTTTTTGACGACATGTTTGGCTCAGTTTTGTAGTGATCCTAATTGCTGTGCCAGTGGTAGCGGGTTCGAGTCCCGCTGGGTGCATTAATTTGTGTGATGATAGCTTTATTTTATTCCTCTTTGTAAAGTGTTTCCTAAAATGTAGCTTACATATTAGTCTATGGTTAAGAAAATGTCTCACGATCTGTGACATTGAACCATAGTCATTTTACAATATTAAAAGATTTTATAACTCTCCACTTTATCATTTCAAAGTTGTAACACTCTTAATACATTAAATGTATATATTTACAGGTAATGTTTGAACGAATCCTTTACATATGGGCAATCAGACACCCGGCATCTGGCTATGTCCAGGGTATCAATGACCTGGTCACCCCGTTTTTCATGGTCTTCCTCCAGGAAGCAGCTCCTGGCAAGGAATTGGATAACTTCCCCCTGGACAGTCTGACGGAACAACAGCGGGATATCATTGAAGCTGATTCCTTCTGGTGCCTGTCGAAATTCCTAGACAGTATCCAGGATAATTATATATTTGCTCAGCTCGGTATACAGTATAAGGTAAGTTTTTTTAATACTATGTAATAATATATAAGCTGTAGAAAATATTTTTTTTGCCAATTGCTTTTTTAAAAATTATCTAAAGTAAAGGATGTAAACCATTTCTACTTTTAATTTAAAATTATATATTTTTTTTTTGTATTAAAGTGGACAGAATAGAACACTCATGTTATAAATTTTTATTTTACATCTATTTGATTGATTGGGATAAAATTTTCTATCTTAACAAAAAATATTAATTAAGTAACAAGAAGTAGTAGAAGAACTGCGTTGCGAGACTTGCATTTTTTTACATATTATGATTTTTGTGGGATTGTTGTATTTGTTTAATAACACTCCATTCACAAAGTTTATTTTTTATAATTACTCTCGTCCTTATATGTGACTTTAAATAGTCTACAGCCTTTTTTTTTAATGTTGGGAAATGCTTTTACGCATACCACCTGTATACATACATATGGTTATGTGGGACTCACCGGCTAGAAAAGCCAGTACTAACCACTAAAACCCAACAGAACCTCCCTCGTTATAATGAGGCGTCCCAGGATTGCTTACGCACTCAACCACAACGCCCCTATGAGATAGCCTATTTCATAAAATAGGATATGAAATACAAAGAAGATTTTAGATTTTTTCAAATCAACTGGGTAACTCTGGAATTCATATTGGTTTTAGGATGAAACAAAAAAAATGTCCGTTTTTTAATATTATCAGTGTCATAGATCTTTCATACTCCGACTCAAAAATTAGAGATAGACGTTTTTCATTTAAATTTAGGACATCATTGCAAACAACTAGCTACTATTTGTTTTGCTAATTCCTCGAATGGAAATTAGATCGTCGTCCTTATCAATTGTAGGCATGTTATAATCAATTTAATTTATTCAGTTTTTTTTTTCTTTTTCAATATATAAGTACTCTGTTGTCTAATACATATACTATTATATTTAATAGAGTAATCTAATTTTGGCCATATTTATTAATAACTTTGTGCTCTAACTGTATTTCAACAATTTTATAATGCTGTAAGATTACCAAGAAATAAATAAATAAAATAAGTAAATAAATAAATGTTTACTGTTTAAAGTATTTTTGTCAATCAATGCAGTAAATTAGAAGTGTTCTATTGTTTGAAAGTGTCTATGGAATTTAAGTGCTTGTATGACAAGTAACTAACCAGTTACTAACTATAGGTAATAACCAAAAATACTTCTAAATTTATTTCTAGATGATGAGGCTATTAAAAAAATATTTAACATTAAATATTAGTAACCTTATATAATAAGGTGAGAATGAAACTCATAAAAAAAATCTAATAAATAAAATAACTCTAATTTAAAAAAATAACCGTGGTGTTGCTTATAGAGGTCATATTATATCTATAATTTCGATATTCAATTGAATCAAAAAAGTGGTCCATCAAAAAATTTATAATTTTCATCATTGTTTTCAGACGCCAGAAGTCAGATATTTTTAATATAGTCTTCGTAACTAATAAGTTTAAAAACATTAAAAGTAAAATAAATTTTCTATGTAGAAATGTAAATTTTTGTTCTAATATCCAGTGTCCGATTTAACCTTAGCACCGCCCCTGGGCACAGTACAATAAGGCCACCCTATTATCGAAACTTTCCATAAAATGAGTAAAGTTTTGATGAAGTTTAAATTTATTTCATTATTATATTTTTGAAGAATGATTTTTTTTTTAAATGATATCAATTTTTCGAAAAATGTACCTGCTAGTTAATCTTTTTTATTTTTAATTTTTTGAAAAATAAAAAAAGCATTTTCGATAACGCGATTTTTTTTGTCCCGACCCCGAATTTTCCACCCCTAAAAATTTGCCGCCCTGGGCACTAGACCCGAGCGCCCCTAGTGTAAATCCAGCGCTGTTTATATCCTTTTTCCGTAAAAGATAATGATTATATCCTTAACTTCTGTTATATTAATTAATTTTATTTTCAGGTAAACCAGCTCAAAGAATTGATAAGACGTATAGATCTTCCATTACACGAGCATCTACAAAAACATGGTGTAGATTATCTGCAATTCTCATTCCGTTGGATGAATAACCTTCTAACTAGGGAAATACCTCTTCCATGCACCATTCGTCTGTGGGACACCTATCTCGCAGAGTCTGATGGCTTCGCGATATTCCAGCTTTATGTTTGCGCTGCGTTTTTACTCCACTGGCGAGAAAGACTGATGTTAGAAAAGGATTTCCAAGGACTTATGATTTTACTCCAAAACGTTCCCACTCAAAATTGGACCGACTCTAATATTAGTGTGTTGGTCGCTGAGGCGTACAGGTTGAAGTTTGCCTTCGCCGATGCTCCCAATCATTTGCACAATGCCGGCAAGGCGGATAGATGACCTGGATTGAAGCGTTGATTGACTAGAACGCGGCGGTCCATACCATATTGTTGTACCACTTTTGGTCCATGTCGGTTGAAATTTCCAATTTAATATTGAAATATGTTTGTTTATTTTGAAAGTTGTTAGTGATGATATGAGCCGTTTTGTATAAGTAAATTTTGTATGGACCGAATCTGGTCCATTTACCACAATGATATGGGCTATTAATACCGTTTTCAATGTCACATTCAAGTTGTTTACGACTTACGAAAACGTGTTGCAGATATGTATATGGTTGTTTTACATACAGATAATAATTAATTATAAAATGAAAAATCAAGGCCATGTATTTATTTAGAGGGATTATGTTAAGAATCGTGATTGATTAAAATGAATTGTTCATATATTTTATTTTAAATTATAATTTTGTCATCACATTTATTCCATTTGTTTGGTTTTGTTTTGTAAAAGAAATGAAAGATTAAAGAACATATTAAGCACAAATAATATCTGCTTTCCAGTAAATACAGCTGTTTGATGAGCTATTTATGTAAGAAAATAACGAAATGAAATTCTAAATTAATCGGTTTTAATAACAGTTTTAAATAACGTGAAATGATATTTGTTTAAGTTGTATACTATATTTTACTTCGTCAACGTATTTTTTTTTTATATATTTTAAATAATTGTATATTTATTTAGTAATTCGTCTGGCAACACTGAAGATTTACCATGATGGGTAGAGGTAAAGAAAACGTCTTAAATGGGGACAAGTTGAGAAAGTGTCAAGTGTGCAGTAAATAACAGTTTGAAAATCTATCAAAACCAAAATGGCTCCAGCTTAAATAAAAACTATGATATGAATATAGCAGTTGTAGGCGGGGTTAGTGTGCTGAGTTTAATAATTTAATATTTTTGGTAACTAGAATAGTTCATGATTATTTAGGTAGTAAATATTTTTTTCTTTGTTTAGTTCTCTATCCTTTTTTTTTAACGTTGGGAAATGCATTTACGCACGAGGTGTGGGACTCACCGGCAAAGCCAGTACTACCCACTAAAACCCAACAAAACCTTCCCCCGTCTTAATGGGGCGTCGCAGGATCGCTTACGCATTTAACTACGACGCCCCGACGGCAGGTTTGCCGAAGCAGACCACAACAACCATGGGGTTGCTCCAAGGTCCACTCTGCTATCAGAGAAGTACCAGGAGCAACCCGCATGGTACACCGCCCACCGAAGAGGGCCACCTCTCACCGAAGTGGGCCACCTCCCTGTGTGTTTTTTGGCTTCGCGCCCGGTTGGGTTGCCGGGCACTACTGAGCCCCCCCACCACGACAAGGTGAACGCACGTTGGGGGGGAAGTTCTCTATCCTACTCTAACAATTTTTGAGGATTCTTTTAAAATGTATTTACTGGCTACACTAGCGCCATCCTAAATGACGGCTTTCGACGGCCTTTTTTTATATACACGGTTTTTCTTACCTCTACACTCCATATTTACTTTACATAGTTGTCATGGACTATGTGAAGCTATATTTATCGAATACTAAAAAAAAGGTTAAATGTCGAAGATAATTGTATATGAAAATAAATTGATTTTACACATTTATATCTTGTAATATAAAAATACGTTACGTAAAAATATGGCGAATTTTATGGCTATTATATAATATACTAAAAGGCTGCCATGTTTGTTTAACTTATTAAAATAAAAAAGAGATTTCTCTAACATCACATTCGCCTCGCTTATACGTGTCTATGTAAATATACTTTGCATCGCTAAAATGGCACGATCATTTGGAACCTTGTCACACTCACTGATCAGAAATTTGCTATAGATCCGATTGATATTGTAATAATTGTTAGTATGATATGGTTGTATCGCATTGGGTTGGTACATGGGGACCGATATTAATGTTTTGAATGTTATAATATAGTCTGAGAGATAGCGGTAGGAAAAATCTATTTTTTTTTCATGGTTCCAATAACGAAGTGACAGTTTCGTATCAAGACTGAAAATATTTGCTTAAAATATCTTGTAAACGTTTAGAAATGAATTCGAAGCGTTTTTGTGCCGCCGTCTCTTGGACTATGGAGTAAGTCTGATTTTGAATGAAACGACTATTTATAAGTAATAGTGTATTTGTTAAGCGGAAAAAAATGCGGCAAAGATATTTGATTATTGTTTTTTTTTTCTTTTATTTTACGTAAACTTTACACGGTTTATAGCACTATTTGTAAAGTTTCGCCTTAATAAATATATTATGAAACTATACCGAAATACTGTTATTTATTACTCTCATCCGTCTACTGGCAAATATAATATTGACAATTTAATGTATAAGCTTAATTTTAAAACATACTTTAAATACGTAGATAACAATGTTATTATGAATTGAAGAAACTAATATCGAATCCGTAACCTCCGCTATGGTAGATTGTGCAATACTGCAGTCTGCAACACATTGGTTATGATTGTTATATTAAAATAATAAAAATCTAGAAAAAAATATGTAATATTTCGCATTGAATTACACCGAACTAAAATTTGTTTTATTGTAACACAAGTCGATTTTAATCTACTTCTAATGATCGTATCGTTTCGATATTTCATAATTATTTAAAATCCGGATAATATATTTGTATAGGATCGAGTCGATTTGTTTCTCCATCTTCTAACTCCTTCAGCCAGGAGGTGGATAATAAAATTCTTTAATGGCTACTAGTATAACCTTTTTGATCTCATGACTCATCTGAATCGTTTTGTCAACAACATGCATTACAGTGGATCAAAAGCATACTTTGTAGTTTTTTTAAACTTAAAAAATACAGTTTATAACAATGTATTTTATGTAATTGAATTGAAAAATATTAAAAGTATACACAAAAATTATTAATCTTTCTTTTTTAATGTTTTATTTTTTATTTTCTGAGAGAACCTAGCAAGTTTTCGAAAGACATGTGAAGTCCGCCAACCCGCACTTGGCTAGCGTGGTGGACTTTGGCCTGATCCCCCTCGTATTGAAGGGAGGCCCGTGACCAGCAGTGGGACGTCAAAAAGGGCTGAATATATACATACGTACATACATACATACATGCATAAATACGCCTGTAGCGAATATAAAGCAACGTACACACATTGCTATTACATCCCATCAGGCGCTTTTTACATAAACAAAATACAACTGACCTCGCACTTGCGCAGAAAGATCGACCTTGGCCTAGACATTGACAGCTGACTGTTATTCGTAAACAAATCTCCACATTCCACATAAAATTTCTTAAAAATATGTAATTTTTACTTAGAATAATATAAAATCGTTAATTACAAAGTAAGTTTCTTGAAAATATTTGTTTGTTTAGTTTTTGATATAGTCTTTGTAGTTTCATTAAAAGATCGATCCAGGCGTATCCACGGGGATAGTAACCTTGAACTAGAGAATGTAGCTAAACTATATCTAGAAAATTGCAGTAGCAAAAGTGAGTGCCGGGAGACATTGTATTGCAGAGATGAGAGAAGGTAAGATCTTATTCCTTGAAGATGCTAACGAAAATATTCTTAAATTTGTCATTCGGCTAAAATACACAAAATAATTGTCAAGATATTTATCAACATTAAATTGAACTAAAATATCAAAAAACAAAATAAGGCTGCTGTAAATGAAATTTGCAATTTGTAAAAATCTAGTTCCGCTTTTCTAGTATTTATGTATAATATTTGGATATTGTTATACAATCGTGCGAAAGCCTTAAACGAAATGGATAAAACTTTGTACATAGACAGACCATGCCTTTTATTGGTCATCACTGAGAAAATCCTTTTTCAATCTGTTGTCTTCCTCTCCCCAGCCTTTTACATAACAACCAGGACCTCTTGTAGCGGAACATCCACATCATAGCATGGCATTGGGGAGATCACCTAGTAATGTGTTTCCATGGGGTAATAAATAAATAAAATAAATATGTTGGGACATTAACACACAGCACCATCTAGTTCCATGGTAAGCTACCAGGCTTGTGTTATGGTTACCAGGTAGTTGATACACTTCCGGGGCAGAGGCTGACTGCTACCGGACGCGTCCCCGGGTGGCGGATAGGGGAACACCACTCGCACCTGCTTTGACCCGACAGGAGCTTGTGGTACCGGAGCAATCCGGCGCGGACCAACAGCCAGGAGGAGGGGTTGAGGGAGCGGCGTGAGGAGGGCGCCGTCTCCTTCTTGGAGGTAGCGCGGTGTCTCCGGCCGTTTCGCGGTAGGAGGCGCTGCGCGGGCCACACTGCCGGGGCTAGCCCGTCGGTGCGGCGACTGGAGCGGGGCCAGTTCGGTGGTCCTGCGTCTGGCGAGGGATGTCGGTAGCCATTTTGGTCCGGAGGTGGGCCGACGGTAGGGGGCCGCGGGGGAAGAGGAGTGTCGGTATGGCGATGCGCCGCTCGTCCCTATCTCCCGCGGCCTAGCGGGGCCACCACCGTTGATGGTGGACGTGGTGGGGCTGCAGGGGAAGGGAATGTCGGCGTTGTCGCATCCTCTTCTCCTGCAGCCGTTTGTGGTTAGGCTCGTTCACGGGCGTCTTTGGGGTTTGCCCAATAGGGTGGAAGGTTATTATTTTTTGCAGGTTGCCCACTTCGGTGGGCGGTGTTAGTGTGGTGTGGGGCTGCTCCGGGTACTTCTCTGATCAGCAGAGTGGACTTAGGAGTGGCCTCACTTCTTGGGTTGCAAGTCTTCCCATAATGGGGTTGGCTTGGGGCGGCCTCATGGTTGGTGGCTTCGGCCAACCGTCGGGGCGTCGCGGTAGTATGCGAGAGCGATCCCGTGGCGTCCCACATGGCGGCAGGCGGGGGAAGTTGGGTTTTAGTGGGTATGCCGGTCTCATTAGCCGGAGAGTCTCCACATAACCACCCCGGGGGAAGTCGGGTGGTATCCGTAATAGGATTTCCCAACTATAAAAAAAAAAACAAAAAAAAAAAAAAAGGTAGTTGATACACTATACATATATAACTTTAAATACATACATATA